AGTCATTGTTGTTGGGATATACATAATTTATTTCTTCCATTGAGCACTATTAGGTGTAGAATAAACCAGGGCAATTTTGCATCTCTCTCAGGTAGAGTGTGAACTGTTAAAGAAACTGTCCTTGGCGTGAATGGAAACTCACCGTTTCCTTGTATTTACACGCTGAATTGAGATAAAAGGAACAAAAAAGGCTTTTTTTTTTTTTTTTTTTTTTTAAATGAAATAAGGCTTGTGCCGGGGACGCCTAAACGGGATGTGCTGCTCCGGCAGCAGATTCGCTCGCTAGTCAGAAGGGAAAACCCTTGTTCCTCTTGCTGTGCCACGGACTTGACTGGACTCATGGGTCACGTTCTGCAAAGCTCCGCTCTGGCTGGTCACCCCCGGCCCGGGCCGATGTGTGAGTTAAAGCATCCCAAGTGCAGGACTCCGCGTCTGCCCTGTTGGATGTGCTGGGTTCCTGTCAGCCTGGGTGGGTTCCCATGAGCAGCAGCCCGGCCCTCCCACACATCGAATCCCACCTGGATTTCTAGCTGCAGGCTCTGTCTCGTTAGCCGTGTCGCCAGGTTGGTAAGTGCTGTTTGCCCAGTGACAGGGTGCCAGCCTCACTTCCCTGTGCTTGTCCCTGTGCATCCTTACAGCCTGGCAGTCTACCTGTTTTTTCACCCACTTTGCTTGTCTAACCAGTTTGACTATGGAGGCTGGAGACTCTGACTATGGTGGCTGGAGACTGTGTCCAAGGCCTCTCTGTAGTCAGTGTATAGAGCATGCCCTGCTCTTGCCTTAGCCATACAGCCAGTCACCTCATCGTAAAAGGCAGCCCACAGAGCTTTGGCTTTTCACTGGTCTCTGCCCTGGGCGTCTCCTCTCTGGATCCATGGACTTGCCTAGTTAGCTGGAGGATTTAGCTTATGTATTCCATAACTGTGTTTTCCTTTGCCAGTGTGATGCTATGTTCCCAGAGAGTCAGAGCGCTCGTTGCCTTTTCTGAGCCCGGATATGAGCAAGCTCTAATCCAAAAGCAGGAAATCATCTAATATAATAAATCACTGTCAGTACCCAGTACCATGAGATCAGAACCAGCATTCAGCATGCCCAGTGTGGGGAGAATGAGCGAATAGATCTGTAAAAAAGGAGGGCATGTGGGTAGTGATTGTGCTCCTCATGAGGAAGAGAAAAATACAGCTCTTTTTCACACAAGTTTATTATACTTGAGTGCTTGCATGGGACTGGTTTAGTGTGGATTTTTCTTTTCCTGGTGTGGCCTTTCCCAAGTAACAGCACACCAGAGCAGCCCTGGAACTGCGCTTTCGACTTCTCTGCCTAAACTAACGGATGTAGGTTTAGAATGGTTGGCAAGGCAGATAATGATGAATAGAAAAAAAAATAAGATCAAGTCTTAGTAAAAGCTTTACAGGTGATGGAATATAAGTAACAGTACAGATTATTATTGCTAAAGGTCCTGGATGCATTTCTTCTTTAGAGGAGAGAAATCCAAAGTTTACTCAGTAAGACCCACAAGCCTTTCAGCAATTTTAATCCCTCTCGAGGCTGCAGTTTGCTCTGGACTCTTAGTTGAGACACAAATGGTCTTTTAAAACATTAGTGTCTAAGCTTGTGATTTTATTACTCTTTGGTAACAACGCTGTTCTGTTTAGGAGATCCTACACAAGAATATTTTAAAAATTAGATCACTCTGGAGCAGAAATTTAAGCTGAGGCCTGCTGTTCTGTTGAATATCTCCGGGTACTGTTTTTGTTCTTGTGTCTTTGTGCTGACTTCTGGTCCTTTGGAGCGGTACCCGTCCCTGTCCCTTCAAGGATCAGCAAGTTCAGCACCTTTTTAAAACTGCCAGTCTGGTGAAGACAAGGGATGTTCCTTTCCCCTCCTGAGAAGGGTCACGTGTAAATGGAACTTTCTAAGTAAGATGTTTGTGTTGTCCTTCCCTTTGAAAAGCTAGTAACTGTGGTGTTATTTTCCATGCAAAACGGGTAGCCCTTTCGCATTTATCCCCGAGTACGAGCAAGCCCGAGGGAGGAGCCGCGGAGCAGCCGCCTGTGGGATTGTGCTGTGCTGGCGGCTCGTGTCGCGCTCGCACCGGTGGCACCTTGCGCGCCCGTCTGCGCCGCCACGTTGCGCTGGGGGGCCCTCGTGTCTCTGCCCTGAGTAACTGCGCAGTTCCACGTCCAAGTACCGTGGGCCATTGCTGCTTCGGGCCGTTCTTTTCTCGAGCTGCAGAGTAACATCAGCATCGCCAGAGCTCGCTGCGGCGCCGTCTCTTGAGACAGGTCACAGCCTGCAGTTGAGGTTGGGAGCTTTCCCGGTGCTTCCCCAAAAGACAGGGGTCAGGTGCGGTTGTGGCAGAGCTGCTGGTGGTTGTGGGAGATCCCTGCAGCGTCCTGCATGGTGACTGATGGAACTGTGTATCCTGTGTGTCCTCGTACCCCCAGCTGGTGCTTCCACCCTGCACAAGCGGGAACGGCTGCAAGACGGGAAGAGGTTTCGGGGACAGGAAGACCCAAGTTCCTTTCTAGCTGGACTAGGAAGTCAGTGAGAAGCAGAAGAGTTTTGGATCAGAGAAACTATTAAAAGTTGGATTAAAAAACAGGGGATCGAGATGTGGGAATTCAAATTTGTGGAGACAGCATGTGTTTGTACTGTAGCTTTAGGCAGAAGGGAGCTGGGAAGGTTTTCACGGTCGGACTGAATGCTGTAAGAGGAACTTGGGCTCTAGGAGGTGGACTGAAAAGAAAGCTGTGTTTAATATCCACTCTTTCTGTAAGCTTTGCAGTGTGCCTTGTATCTCTTGATTTTTGTAAAGCAAATGAGGAATTTATTTACTTTTGTTTCTGTTGAGTGATTTCCAATAAGCAAATAGCTGGGAAGTTTCATGGAAATGGAAAGATAAGGCAAGTGCTTGAACCCAGGGGGCCACGCTGAGGTTTCGTGCAAGGAGTTTGACTCTTTCATTACCACTACCCTGAAGACCAATTTGGATTTGAGCCATCACTGGGAATCAGTATCTGTTCCCCTCAGAGATCCCTGCTCCCCAGGGACGAAGCTGCAGTTCCTGCAGCCCCAGTGGAGCAAGCGAGTAGGGGCCTGTGCCCATGGCATCTAATTTCAGTGAAGCACACGGGTATTAGAGCAACAGAATGAAAAATCCGACCGAAGGTTCCAGGTGTGCTGGAGCTCTGTAATTGCCCAGGAATTGTGCCTGTCTGCTTCGTTAAGGGGTAAAGAGCTCCGACTGACTCATTAGACTCTTCCTATTTATTACCGTGCTAATGAAATGCTGGTAATGCTATTTTAAATTTTTTTTATGTACAGTCTCCTAGTGGGTTTCTCCTGGAGTAGGATTCCTGTATCACCTATCACCTTTCCTATTGCAGCGATGGCTTCGGGAGCACTGTAGTAATTCTCAAGTTCATGTAACTTGTAAATTAAATGCCTGTGTAAACTTGTAAACTTAAACTCAAGCTACTGAATGTGCTTTTATTTTGATGACAGTAGGAGAGCTGGATGTTTGGTTCCCGGTTCCCCCCCCCCCAGTTATATTTTCAACTAAAGTCACTTTTTGTAAAAGTTCATGTGTAAATTTTTTTATGTATATAGCTGAGTGTTTTTTATAGGTTGTTTGAAATGAAAAATAAATTCTATTGCTTGTGTTTTGATATAGAATTCTGAACAGAAGCTACAGCAAAAATTGGATAACTGTAGAATGAGCTCTTATAACGGGAAAAAACCTATTCAGTCCCCTGCATGGGCAGGCAGGCTTAGGGTTTCTTTGCAGTCTGAGGTTTGCACCTCTGTCAAGAAGGAAACAAATGGCTGGTAGGTTTAGTCTGAGCATATTTGAACTCAGACTGTAACAAATCCTTCATATTAATTAATGAGATTAATTTGTTTTGACAAGACCCTTCCCACTCCTCCCTGCCAGTTAGGTTGCAATTTATAACTGGAGCAGAACAGGGATTGACTTAAAACTTAAAGACTAAAACACTTTAATGTAATTAAAATAAATGAGGGCTGCATGCAGCACTCCTCATTTTAATTATGCAGGAGATACATTTGCCTGTCAATTTGTGTTGGTTTGAGCACAATGTGGGTCAGTTCAGGCACCATGTGTCTGTATTACACATTTCTGTAAGCAGAAACACTGTGTTCAGCAAAATTTACATAATTTCCCCAAATTTCATCAGTAAATGTAAGTTACATGTGTAATTTACAGAGTACAGAGTAGATGTTATTTCCAGTGTAATGATGTCTCGACTTTGCTTTATCTCTCTCTGTGTTGGCAGCTGAAAAGCATGTTGAAAATTGAAGTTTTCTATTTCCATTTTAGCTATTTTGTTTTAATGTGTGTATACGAAGTCTCAATTGCAATGTTTGATTTTAAATTTATGCTCAATCCATGTTCCTGGGAAATGTTATTAGAATAGTGCCCTGCTGGAAGGGACGTGTTGCTATATGGTGGACGCTCCTTTGCTTTCATATATCTGCTGCCACAGAGTATCTGCTTCTGCAACCTGCTTCATGTAGGGCCAGCTTACTGCTTTAAATAGGAAGGTAAAATCAGGGGAAAAGTGAAAAGCCTTAGTGCAAAAAATATGCAGAAATGTGAAATGGAATCAGGGGTGATAGTGGCCTCTGAAATTTAGTAAAATAATATTTTCCAGTAGCCTCCCCCTGTGTGAGAGGCAGCGGGGGCTGCTCCTGGTAGCCCCAGTGGTTCTTATGGGGCTGGGGCAGGAACTGCTGTGCTGGCTAGGGTGGCAGAATGGGAATTTGCAAATGGAAATGAGGGTAGAAAATCCAGGAGAAAATGGGCTCTATTCTGATACCTGTTTTTTTAGTAGAGGCCTTTGTGCTAGAAATGAAAATTTTTGCTCCACAGTTAGGCATTTTTACTTACAAAGGTGTATTTATTTCCTTTCAGATAATGGTATATGAAATAGCATTTAAACTGTTTAAGCTGATTGTTCTCTTTCTTTCTTTTATAGGCTGCTGAATCGGGAATAATAAAAGTGAAAACCATAGCTGCACGAAATACGGATATCTTGGCAGGTAATTGTTGCAATATCAGTGCAGCGGGAAAAGGAAATTTGGGTTTCAGATCAAAACTTCAAAAAAAAGTGTTTCGGATTTGTGCAGACTCTTTAGCGTGCATCATGTCAATGATACTTTACTTTTTGGCACTTAGCAGAAAATTGAGTAATTCAGAGAAATCCTTCATGCTCTCTCTGTTTCATCTTTGTGCTGTGTGATGCTGAGGAAGGTCCCCATTTTCAGTGGTGGCTCTTCACAAGTTGTCATCTACACAGAAAAATAAAATGAAATTCTTAGGCTTCGAATTGGCACCGTGTTGTTCTCCGGGCACGTTCACGAGGGCTGTGGCCACACGCTCTGTGCAGATCTGTGCAGCCAGGGCCTCGTCTGGGCGTTCACCACGAGAGCTTAGCCTGGGGAGACCTGGGCCTGGCAGGCAAAAACCCAGCTCGGCCTGAGCCAGGGTCCTTCCATTTAGGCTGTGCCGTGGCCTTGAGGGACAGGAGATCTTTTGTGAGTTGCAGCTTTTTAACCACTTAATACAGCGCCTTAACTTGCTTCAGCTTTATTAAGTGGCCTGTAGAGTGGAGGCTTCTTGCCAGTTGCTGTTTCAGCTGTTGGCCAAATTTGAAGGTCTCTGCATTAACACAGGAGTGTCTGCACTGGCTGTGCTCCTCACGATGCTCAATTCCTGAAAGGGTCCAAATGAAACTTAGTGAAATGTCAATCCGTTCCATGTTTGTTTGTACATTAAATGCTCTTAAGGAGGCACTTTTGAGAATTATGTCAAATATCAGCCCCCTCCCCCTCAGTATTTCACCTTAATGCCTCTTTTTTTATTTGTTTATTTTCTTTGTTTTTACTGCTGTCATGAATGCTGACATAAGTGGGAAAACTATGCCAGGTAATGTCAGCTCTGCATCAAAATACACAAACGTACTAGACAAATCTCTAGTAAACCACTAGGGAACCTAGCAGCATTCTTTGGAATATTCCTGTTTAAAGACTTTTTTTTTTTTTTTTTTTTTTTTTCCCCTCATCATTTCAAAGTGAGAAGATATATACTGTGCAGTATATATGCCGTAGTAACAATACAGCTGGAAAAGGCTACTCTCATCGTGCGAACTAGTGAAGTAAATAAGTTTGCTAGATGATTTAGAGCAGCTAATAGACTTTCTAAAAAAAAAAACCCAAAATGTATGTTGATCAAAATATAATTTTTATTTTCTTCTTTATATTTTGATGAAAACAGAAATGAATTTGGATTTCAGAGAAATGGAAGAAAACAACTCTATGACGTTCTTTTAAATAATCTGAACTTTTTTTTCCTCTTTTTTAAGCATTGCACTACATAAGACTATAATTACTTGGAAAATAGATTCAGTCTTAAAATAAAGTTGCTTCTGTTTGCTTGTAATATCTGGTGAGTTGTGTTTAATTTGCTGGAACTCTTTAAGGTCGTTGATATGACTTCTTTCTTTCTCTTGCAAAAGTTACCTTGAGCTGTTTCAAAATTCTCACTTTTGGCAATCTCTGTGCTTTTAAATTTATTTGTGAAGATTTTGATACTTCTAAAAGAAGTTAGCTTGAAATTCAGATCACAGGAGATGTATTTCCACATGGCTCTAAGGTGTGCATTTTTTAAGTAGTTCTTTTATAAAAGATGCTCTTTTAAAACAAATACGATTATTGTTTTTGATGGAATAAAATATTAAGTCTTCCTCTTTTTTTAGAAAAAAAAGCTTTGTGATGTGGTTCATTAAGATTTACTTTTAGGATATATAATTTTGGTATAGCAAGTGAAAGCAGAGTTTGATATAAGTAAAATTCTGTGTGTGCTCTGAGTGAAGCTAATATGATAGTAGTAGAGATTACCAAACATGTAAGCTATTCAGATTAATAATGAAAATGCTTGTACAGATTCTGTTGTGAGATCGCTTTTAATTATTACAGGTAAGGTACTGTTAAAAGTTTAAATTTTTATCCTGTAATTGAAATATGCTTAAAATCTATGTGTTAAATGGGATCTTACTTCCACTTTTAGATTCATTAGCCAATTTTTATTTTATTCTTTTAATGAGAAAATCAAGGAATTCTTCATTAAGAATGATAATGGTTAATACAGTTTATAAAGGAGGTTTATTTGCCTGGTAGTTTAAAAAGAAAAATAAAGTGGGAGAGGCAGGGGAGTTAAAAAGGGACCTGTAGCTGAGAGTTAAATGGGTGGTGACTTGTGTTCAGTCTCGTTAGTGTCGACATTTTTACTTTTGGGTTAGGAATTTGGTGCTTGTTCGGCTTCTGTTAACTTAACTGCTGCCCTGTGCTGTCCTGAGGAGGCTCACGTAGCTATAGCCTCTGCTAATATAGGAACAGAATAGGCTCTGTGCTAGTAACTATTCCCCTATGTTTTAAGAACTATTACCCTATAAAAATTGGCACCCATAACCTACTTCAGCCTGTCCTTTTCCGAGGAAGTTGTTCATGGTGTGCTAGTGCTTCAATTTCAAATGTCATTAAAATATTTGTAACGCTTAATTTCGTGTTTGTTTTATTGTATTTCTTCAAATCAGTTGTTGTGGTTCTTAGTAATAACCCTGCTTGAGAGCTAAGCTTAGGCAAGGTGTTCAGCAGACAAAGTTGATGCTTGTAGTTTTATGTGAGGATGTTTTGTTTGTCTCTGGTAAGAGCTGTGCTCTAGAAGCGTGCGTAAAACACTTTTATGAACCTGTTTTCTGTTATTACACATAGACTAAAAATATATGGAAAGATATTTAGGATAAGAACACACTGAGTTTTCAACCTTGAAGAAACTTCAGGGAACAAACAGCTAAAATCTTACAGCTTTACATGAATCGACAATCCAGAAAGCCCTCAGTTGCTTTGAATCGTGCTTTGCTTTGATCTTGTAGAAACATTTGCTGCTTTTTTCGTTCTGTGATGTTTAGCTCAGATATCTCAGATTGCTTTTATGGTGGAAAACTTTAAATTGTCACTGTGGTTCGTTGTACTAATTGTGAATGTTTCCCTTTTTTTAAAAAAGGAATAGAACTCTATGAAACTTGTCACTTCTCATGAAAGGCTTCCATTTTAATAAGCAGACATTTTTCAAAAAAAAAAAAAAATAAATAAAAATTGCAGCCTGAGGTATGTGCCTGGGATTCAGAGGGCAGCTCCTTTCTCCTCGTGTGGTTTGGTGGTGGCATTTAGCTTGGCTCGTGTGCCATGTGCCCTGATGGGGCTCTTCATGCTGCACGTTGTGTCACTTCTGCCCTCAAGCTGAGGTAGAGCAGGAGGAAAGGCTGCCTGTCTAAGACTGGGCTTAGTCTCCAAGGCTAGCAAGAGTTTTAAGACGTCACTCAGTGAAAACAGGTCTAGGGAAAGGAAAGTGTGTGTAAGGGAGAAGGTGTTTTGGATTAGAGATTTATCTGAGTCAGTTACTGAGGTGAACTCTGGCAATCTGATGCCTTTTTTCAGTCGGTTTTTCTTTCTGGTACAAAAATAACTCCCAAATTTCCAAGACGGGAGGTTGCTTTTTTATTATATTTCATGGATATGACTAACACATTTTGCTTTGTGCTCTTCAAAGTATTGGAAATTGACTGCTTCCATCTCTCTTTTTGAAAGCTTTGAAAGAAAACAGCTCAGAGGTAGTTCAGCCTTTTCTGATGGGTTGTGGAACGAAGGAACCAAAGATCACTCAGCTGTGCCTGGCAGCAATACAGAGGCTCATGTCCCATGAAGTTGTCTCGGAGGTAAGATAAAGGTTCTCGGAGGTCTGTGTTTCCCACACTCAAAGACACGTTTCCTGGAATACTTTATTCCTAAATGTCATGTGATCTGTTGTGATACTGCATAGAGAGTATATTAAGAAGCTAAGTAATAATATTAAAATGTGTCTTCATTTGTGCTTATATAATATAACATTACAGTGTTTTCTATCTTGAATGCATTTTGAAGATAAAAGGCTTTTTGCTGGGCTTCTCTGTAAACTACATGTTAAGAAATTTCTGAACTTTTTAAAAAATTGTTTAAAGTTGGAGAATGAACTCTTAAAAATATTTAGAGAAGCTTGTGACAGTGAAGTTAATTTTATGTTCAACATATTCTATCGTATAGAAAAACATTCAAATTCAGGTGCATTTTTTACATGTGTACACATGACAGGAGTATTTAAAATCGTAATTGTACGTACAAAATGATTTCTTTGTAGGCTGCAGCAGGGAACATTATTAATATGCTTTGGCAACTGATGGAGAACGGCCTTGAAGAACTTAAGTTGCTTCAGACAGTTCTTGTACTTCTAACAACCAATACAGTTGTGCACGATGAGGCACTGTCCAAGGTAAGAATTAGTCAGTGCCAACTCTAGTACTTATAATATCTAATGAGCATTTTAAATTAAAGTGCTGGGCAACTGCTTATCCTTCTGATATGCTAAATGAGTTTTATGTCTGATCTCAAACTGAAGAAATCAGAGCATGCCACGCAGTGTAACCTTGCACTAGGCAAGCAAGCGATTGGGGGAGCGGCAGCCCACCCTGCAGTGGTTCTGCAACACTTAGTAGTGTTACCCGACCTCAGCATCATCTATTTAACTCCCTTATTTGCTGTTGTGTTTTGTAGGTTTTTCCTTCATTCTCTAATAAATGGATGATAGGCAAGGGATTCCTAGTTTCCAGAACTTTTTTTTTTTTGGTTCAGTTGTCAGCTTTATTTCCATTTCCCTTTCCTTTAGAAAGTTGAGAGGAAGCCTTAAATTCTGTATAAACTGTTTAGCCTTGTATCGTATTTTCTATAAGAGTTTTTTGGAAGAGCAGAACCATAACATTTGATGAAGAGAATGTTAATACTTCAGCAGATGGGATTATTAGCCCTTAGCAAAGTAACACGTGTTCTATAAGGACTTGCAGCATTGCAATTTTGTCAAGTTTGAGTCCAGGCTCTGGAAAGAGGCAGCCTGTTGAAGCCTCCTCTTTCTTTCCTGCATATCCCCTATCTTTCCAAAGCCATACACTTGCCCTCTCTTTCCTCATTTGCTTTCCTTTCCTACCTCCAGGTACTTTTTCTGCCCCTGTTATTCTTCAGTTCTTGGTATCTACATGTTATTTTACTATTTTTTAACACTTCTTTCAGATACCCCTTTTAGCATTCCCCACTTTTTCATCCCTTTTAGGTCATGAAGGTTTGTCCTTTTGAACATCACACACACAAGCATGTCACAGGTAATGGAGAGAGGTCTCTGTCTGCCAGCACTTGGCTCCTGTCCTGTAGGACAAGTTAGCCTGTCCTACATGGAAACATGCTCATATGCTGGGATTACTAGAAGACCTAATTGCTGGACGAGTCCCTTTGAGCACATTACAAGCTAGATTTTTTTTTCTTTTTTTTTTTAAATTGTCAATTTTGGCAACATGCTCATATGCTGGGATTACTAGAAGACCTAATTGCTGGACAAGTCCCTTTGAGCACATTACAGGCTAGATTTTTTTTTCTTTTTTTTTTTTAAATTGTCAATTTTGGCCAGGTTTTGACAGGAAGAAGAAAAGGAAAAGACATCTCTGTCAGAGCAATGCTGTAAAATTATTGGAGTCTCTTAGTAGACCACACATAAATCTTAATATGGATTAATGATGGATTGTTTGGTTTCTACCTGAGATTAAGTAGACATTTATTTTAAGAAGTATCTGAAAGATTTGCCCAATCTAGTGGGAAACGGTATTTGTGCCATCTCAGTGACATCTGAAAATAGGCATTTTAGAGAGGAGTAGTTGCAGCAGAATTGCGAAAGGACTGAGATGTGAAACAGGAGAGAGGGCCTGAGAGGCTGTGTGTGTTCCCTGGCCTTTCTGCTATTTCCAGTTTGCTTTGAAGGGGGGGATTACTACTTCTTTCTTTCTTTCTTTTTCTTGTGGGAAAATCCACAAAACTGCTCTAGTTCTTCAAACTAAATGATTAAATACGTTTTTTCAGATAACCTTTTTTTTTCCAAACTACCTTGATCCCTCGCTGAAAGATAGATATATAGATGTAAGATTAAATTCTTTTCTTTCAGGCAATTGTACTTTGTTTTCGATTGCACTTCACAAAAGATAATATCACCAATAACACAGCAGCAGCCACAGTCCGGCAGGTAGTTACTGTTGTATTTGAGAGAGTGGTTGCTGAAGATGAACGATACAAAGGTGGGTATGTTGCTTATTCTCCTTTCTTGTGGTAACCTGTTCTTTGAACCCACATCAAATGTTTATCTTTTTCAGACGACAGTAAAAAAAAAAAGAGGAATATAAATGTTAAAAGAGAACAGACTTATTTTTTATTGTCTTTTATACAAGTACTTGTATAAAATGAGGTGAAATCTTCAGCTATTGCATAGGTCCAGATCTCTACTTATCTCTGTTGGCCTATCTCTCTCTATATATACCAGATAGATGTGGGAACTGTTCTTAAGGGTGAGAATCCCAAAGGAATTTGGGGCAAAAGAGTAATTTAGATGATTTAGTGTGAAGTAGCTCTTAGTGATAGTTCTGAAAAGAACATTTATTTCAAATAAGAGCTTGGTGTTCAGTCTAACCTTTATTTCTATACCAATGATAAAGAAGAATTGCTTGGCCACCCTTCTAGTGTCTTGTTTGTAAGAACACTTAACGTGTGCCTGATTTTGAGCAGTTCTTTCGGGTTCACAAAACTGCTTTCTGCTTTTCCGCAGACACAGTGGAGCAGCCAGCTGCACTTCAAGGCAACAGCAACCGCAGATCGGTCAGCACGCTCAAGCCCTGTGCTAAAGATGCCTACATGCTTTTTCAGGTAATGGCAGAGCACGTGCTTGCATGTTTGCAGCTGTGGTTGGATGCTTTTCTACCACTGTAAGGAATTTGAAAAATGTTCTGTCAACATATTGCTAAGGCCCTAAACCAGAGCCTTGTGCTTCCTTTTGTATAGGATTGGGATAGGCAATGGAATGTTACAGCCCAGAGGAATGATTGGAAAATGAAGACAAGGTGGCTTAGTAGCGATATGCAAAATAAATGGAATAAATGGTAGCTAATAACTAAGCAAGCTTGTCTGTGTTAACTTCAAGGTTCATTTTTGCTTTAGCCAGACCCGGCAGCATACAGTAGTATTTCTAATGCCTTGCCAAAAACAAGAAAAATGTAGGATGTACAGTGGAAAATAATGGTTGTATTCATTATAATCAAATTGACTTTTTTTGAGATATTTTTGAGAGCAGGAATGATTACTACGAGGATACAACCAAAGTTTAACCTTTATAATAAAAGGTTTTTTGCTTGCTACTTTACGTGAAAAGTGTATTTGAAAAAATGAAATTTCAGATGGCTAATTATGTATCGCCAGGGAGGCAGTGAATTTAGATTTAGCTTGTAGCCTCAGAAAACGTGAGATTTAACCCCAGTAAAGGACTGTGAAGAGGCTGTAACAGCTCATGTTTTTCTTTGCAAGGATCTTTGCCAGTTGGTTAATGCTGATGCTCCCTACTGGCTCGTGGGTATGACAGAAATGACCCGGACGTTTGGACTTGAGCTTCTGGAGTCCGTCCTCAATGACTTCCCACGAGTGTTTTTACAGGTAAGTAATTATTGGAAAGAAAATTGGCATTTTTCCTGGTGTTGTAATAAAATTAATTTAATTTAGTGGGGATGTGTCAGTATATGACTCAAGAGAAGCTGTAGCCTTTGCATGTTTTCTTTTCCTCATAGAAATAAACTGTGAACTCTAGCCCCTTTTTTCTGTCCTTTTTTCTGTCCACTGCATTTATTCACCTCAGTATGTGCACTTTACAGAGCTGTGGTACTTTATAAGTAGGGTCTGTTTCACTTTGTCACTCTTATCTCCTCCAAAGACTTATTGCCTTATCTTCTTGCATGATTTATGGCTCTGCTGATGATACAGCCGTGGGACTTAGTTTGTGGCAACATTATGTCCACAGAAACAACAACCTCCCCCACCTGCAGGAGCAGGAATCGGGACATGGAATTGCATGAATCTGTTCTAATGCAGCATGATACTTTAGTAATGCATTTTAACAGACAGTAGCTAAATTCAGAAGTTAATTGTGAAATAAATGATGTATTGATTGTTATGTATTATTAGGTATTGATTGCTATAATTTGCAAAATACAAGAGGTGTGTGTGGTATGAATCTGAGGGTGTCGTTTCATTGTGCTTCTTGGTAGCTCTCTAACGATGTCTGCTGTTCTTGCTGTTGGTTTCCAAAGCATGTAATTTATATGGTGATTTATGTCACTGCAGAGTACTTGGTATTACCATTAAATGTAGATAAGATACTTAATCAGAATTATATACAGCAATTGAATAAAATTGGTATAAGCTGTGAACTGATTTTTCATTTGTGTAATTTGAATAATTTTTCTTTTTCAGCATCAAGAATTCAGTTTTCTCCTTAAAGAAAGAGTATGCCCTCTTGTTATAAAGCTCTTCTCTCCAAATATCAAATTCAGACAAGGTTCCAGCACATCATCTTCCCCAGCACCAGTGGAGAAACCTTACTTCCCTATCTGTATGCGTTTGCTGAGAGTAGTTTCTGTTTTGATTAAGCAATTTTACAGTTTGCTGGTAAGAATATGTTCAAATTTTATTTATACAGACCTGGTTTTATTGGTACTGAGTTAATAAAGTGTTAGTTGATGGAAATACTTGACCCATAGTGAGGGGAAGAAAGAAAAAGGAATTTATATCATCCTTTTTGTATGTATTTGTGTTTGCTTGTAAAATGCTTTTTTTATAGACTGTCTTCTACTTGCATAACTTTTTAGACTAGGTTGTTAACTGTCTTTGGACTTTCCTGTATTTGTGAAAAATTGCTTTACTTTAATTTTTTGTTTGGCTTTTGATATGCTGATTGTGGTGCTTGTTAATTATTGCTGTGAGACTGTTCAAAAGCTTATAAGAGATATTTGTACATTTAAAACCATGTTCATTTATTATGCCACATACTTTTCAGCAGTGTTTTTATTTATCAGTTTTTAGGTATGTGCTTAAAAAAAAAGATTTTTTTTTTCTTTCATCATTGTAGCACTTTTTTTTAGAACTTTGTTGAAATACCTGTAAGGAATTTAATTTCTTGAATGCAGTTACATGTGTGATGTTAGCAAACAATATTATGATTATTAGGCACATATTGTGCCCATATGCAAGGCTTTTAGATCCTGTGCAGAACTTGCTAGGAGAGGTCTCCTAATCTGGAACAACAGCTTTTTGGAGAGAGTGGGTGGTTTATTTTTTTATTTTTTTTATTTTTTATTTTTTTATTTTTTATTTTTTATTTTTTTATTTTTTATTTTTTATTTTTTATTTTTTATTTCTTATTTTTATTTTTTATTTTTTTATTTTTATTTTTTATTTTTATTTTTTATTTTTTTTATTTTTTATTTTTTTATTTTTTTATTTTTTTATTTTTTTATTATTATTATTTAATCACTGAAAATAATGTCTTTTAGGTAACGGAATGTGAAATCTTCCTGTCTTTACTGGTTAAGTTTCTGGATGCTGACAAACCACAGTGGCTAAGAGCTGTTGCAGTAGAATCTATTCACAGGCTTTGTGTGCAGCCTCAGCTATTAAGGTACAATGTTACAAACTTAACTTTTGTGTGGAAGTGAAGAAGTCTTTCTGTTTTTCTCTGGTTGAAAGAACTTCCTAAAATACTGTAAATATCTAGAAACTTAAAGGAAATTAAACTTTCAAGATAATTTTTGAAAGTATTTGACACTGGTTATTATCCAGAAATAGCTGAATAATGGTGATCTGATTATTCCAAAGCCTTTGTGCCTTGCCGTTATTAAAGAAGCATTTACTCCAAACTAAATTTTGTTTTTCATCTAAATATTTGCAGTTAAAATGTGCTTTCACTCTCTAATTTGTGAAATACTCTAATTTAAAAAAAAACTTTACAGATCCTTTTGTCAATCCTATGATATGAAGCAGCATTCCACTAAAGTTTTCCGAGATATTGTGAATGCACTGGGGTCTTTCATACAGTCACTGTTTCTTGTAACAAGCACAGGGAATACATCAGCAGCACCAAACCAAGCAGGTAAGCTACCTTTTCACTAAAGTTTTAATTTTCTGATATTTTCTTGTAATTTGGAATTGTTCCACTTTATATGTTTGACTTAATACAATTTTTCAGTTATTTAGGTGAAAAAGCTAGCATGATATTAACAGAACTGAAAACATCACTTTCAGTGGATGATTTTTCCTACCTGTAGCCTGGAGTAGGTTTAGTCCCCAGTCAATAGAGTGTTATCCATATGGCTGTATCCACTCCTAGGACAACTCAGCTCCCAATTCAGAACTTTTTTGGAGAAAACAGAGGGGATTATTTCTCGTTTCTGACTCCTTGCCTATTTTTTGAGATGTTGTAAGGCATAAGCACACATAAAGTGGTAAGATCTTTGAGAGACAAAACTAATTTATTTATGATTTTTTTTTTCAGGGTCCGAACTGGATGAGGAAAGTCAAGGGTAGAAAGGAAGTGCTTTGCAGATGATCTTTACTTTTTCTGTAGAAAGAGAATAGTTGATTACTGAAACTTGATTAGCATTCCTTGCAGCTAAGAATTGGGCATTTCATTAAGGGTATTCTTATTTTTTGTAAGAAGGAATGATCTTCCTTGTTAATCCCTTTGAGGGCAGTCACATCTGAATTAGGGCACTCTTCACATAGCTCTGAAAGCAGAAGCCCACCAACAAAGTTAAAATAATTTCTTAGTGTTTCCCATGACATGCCTTCTTAAGATAGTAATTTGTTAATAATTCTGATAATATATTTATAATAAAAAATAGATACATATATATATCAAAAGACTGAGCATGTAAACTCGAACATTTTCTAAGTTATGTGTTTGTCCCTGAAGGAGAATGAAATGGAAATCTTTGCCTTAATACTGAAGTCTGAAATGGTTCCCAGCTCCTGTAATTGGGAAACTTTGCAGAAAAGGCAGGTGCAGACTACAGTATTTTAGGAAAGTAGTTTTGTATGATTATGCTTTCAGGATTTTTATTTTTTTCCATCTTTAATTTATACAGTCTGGGAACCATGACTTGGAGCACTTCAGAGGTAAATAGATTATCAGGCTCTGGGGTGCGTACTTAAGTGTTATGTAAAAAAACCTTATCTACTTCTTTTTAAGGACCTGAAAATGATTAACCTTGTCTTCAAAACACTGTTTTATTAGGGCAAAATAAAATGGTCAGTGTATTTCCCTGCTGCTGATTGCTTTTAAACACCAAGCAATAGAAAGTAGATTGCCTAACAGAGTGTCTCAAAAGTGAGCATGAATATTTCCTGTTCCTCATGGCAGAAATCTGTGCATCACCAGTGTAATGCAACCTATTATCATGGTTAGACAAATGCACAAAGACAGACGAAATTATGTGGAAGATCTATGGATAAGGAAGGAATGAGACTGTCTGATCATGTGTATTTGTTTAAGAAACCTGTCCAGTAAGGACTGAATCAGTTTTGTCACTTTTTCTCCCAGTCATTTATAATGGCCCTAGCAGTCCAAGAAGCATCTAGGTTAGTAGGTCTTTCCTCTTCCAGCTTGGACATTACAGTTTTGCTGTAATTTAAGGGATTGTGGATATAGATTACAATTTAAACAATAAACTCTTTAAAATTATGTTTAACCCATACACGTGAGTGCTCCCTCAGAGGCTGGTGTGCTCTGAGTTCCTTGGGGTTGACTTGGAGAAATTTTTATCAGGGTGGCTGCTGTGCAGTAGCTGCCTGTGTGGAAGCTGGTAGAGGCGTCTTATTATTTCTATGTTACTTTAGCCCATTATGGTAAATAAAAAAAAGCAGTTGTCATTGTGTAGTACACACAGGTACGGGAAGTTCTTCTTCACATTCATTCTCTAAATTTGTTTTTCCTTAGTCTGCAGTAAAGCCTTGCTCTTAGCTTTATCGTTGTTTCAGGGCATTATCATTCTGAACAATTTTCTGTTAAATACTCAGACTAGAGGACAAAAAGGTGAAAAGTTCTCATGCATTTCTCTGTTTCTTCTCTGATGACCCTGATAACAGGTGATGGGCAGATCAATGCAACTTAATTTTCTCTCAGTCTTCCAGTTACGCCAGGCCTGTGATAACTGTATATACTTAGAGTTGTCTTTTGAACTTCAAGTTTGCAACAAAGTAGCCTTTTCAAGGGAGATGATTAAAGCTGCAGCTGTCTAAGCTTACATTGCCTTAAATTTTTTACCTTTTACTGTAAGAAGTTAAGTAGGTACAAAGACAGTTTTACCTGACTGACTCCATAGTGGGATGGTGAATAACCACAGCACTGATTGTGCTAGTTGCAGCCCTTTGACCGTTTTATCTTTGTTGCTTTAATCTGATAAACTGTGTTGTATTAAAGCACACAGACTTGTGCATGCATCTGCTTTGCCTGAGTTGATAAATTAGCCTCTAATTTCTCTGATACCTCCCTAATACCATTAAAAGAGAACATGTCAAAATGAAAGTTGTTAGACTCATGCATACAGGTACTTTGAGGCACCTTCTTGAGGACTCTGCCATTTTCTGTCTCCTTTGTCTCCGCAGAGAGACAATCTGAACTTGTGGCAACTGCTCCTAATGTGTATACACGTCTTCATATATAGAAGTCTTTCTGTCAAAAAAAAATTTTTTTTTGGCATGGAGTGGAATGAAAATTAGTTCCCTTGTGGCCATTGGTTAACGTGTTGTTGGGTCTTCCCTGATGTTTATTCTCCTCTAGCTTGGAATAGAACAGATTTGTATCCTACCACTTTAAGTCACTGAATTTCTTCATGTGGCTTATGGAATTTTGAAATCTTTCAAGTTTTATTTAACTTTTATTTATTTACCTTTTATTTAAAGGTCTGTTAGATGCCACACTTAACGTGCATAATGTCTATTTTTATTTAAAAAATATAAAATATTTTTTAATCGAGGCCTTTTAAGTTTAGTTTGTTTGTAGAGCGTTACGAATGCTGCTGCTTGCTATACCTTTCACAAAAATGTTTTATTACGACTGAAAACAGCAATTCAGCAATTGATACCAGCAGTGCCTATTACTCTGCACATAACACTGCATTTTAGACAGCAGGGGGAGCACAAATATAGTGGTTCCCCTTTCTTCCCCCCAGCAAGCCAGTGATCTCTGATCTATGTATGTCAACGTAAAAAATCAGTATAGAAAAAGGATGCTTGGTAATTAAAGTTAGACTGCAAGGATGGTGAATTGTATCATTTCCTTTCTCTGAGCAGGAAGCAACGTGTCGGGCAGTGCAGGCTCCGCACAAGCTGCCCCGGGAGGGCTCGGAATGGGAGGGGGTGCCACTGTGTTACCTGCCTTTGAGTACAGAGGTACCTGGATACCCATCCTGAACGTCACAGTGCAGGGAAGTGCTAAAGCTACCTAGTAAGTAACCCCATCCCTCTTACAAAACATATATTAAAGGCATTTATTTACAACTTGATTATGTAAGGATTTTTATAAGTTTATTTAATATGTATAGTATATATAGTATTTATAATTATTTAGTATTCAAGTGCTATTTCTACTTATATTTGATATATATTATGGATTTTTAGTCAGTGCAGTGACGCTTTTTTTTTTTTTCTACTCCATTATTTTGTTAGTGTATGGGTTCTGATCCAGATATCCCCTATGGCTTTAGCGTCTGTTGGAATTATTTTACTGCATCATTGCAGTGTTAACTCTTAAGTTTTAGATCTCACTCCAGTAAATAATAATCTTACAGTATCTTTTAATAACTTCTGTAATAGCAAATGAGAGGCATTAAACCAGGGGGTGAGTGGAAAACAGCTTTCCACAGTACTTCCACTGTATGGCAGTTTTTACAAAACAGGATATTTTCATAGGTAATGGACAAGTTACCATTCCAAGCATTGGAATATATTGAGCCTGTATACCAAGGTTAGACTCTGAACGCTTCTTAGTATTATCAGTTAATTTTTTTTTGAAGGCTTTGTGCAATGGAGACTTTATTTTCAGCTTACAGAGCTATAAATACAAGGTTACAATGCCTTTTGAAATAACAGAAGTTTTTTTTCATGTCAGTCATGACCATTGAGGGTCGTCTGTTCAAACTGCAAATTATTTGTACAGCCCACAAGATTTTAGTTGAAAAATACTTGATGAAATCAGCAAATAGTCTGGCTCTCAATACTTTTTTAACTCAGAGATTCCCTTAACTGGCCTTGAGGTTTAATAAGAAAAAAATCACTTCCAGATTTCAGAAGTGAATAATGTCAGCAGGTCCTTTTTATACCATTAACTTCTATCATGCACATCTGCATTCAGCATGCCGATAGTTGATGGAAGGTGATGAATATTTAGTCTTAAATTATTATGCAATGGTAGGGTTTTCCAGTTTTATGAACTCAGTATAATCATGGAACATGTGACTTGTTCTCAAGTTACTATAGCAATATTCATGTTGTTTTACTTCTTCCTGTACAAACCTACCTTTACAAAGGGATGTAGTAACGGTAGTGTGAGAATGTGTAGCATAACTCATTTGGTAATACTCTTATATATGTATTAATGTCTTAATATATATTTGCAGCTCTACATGCAATATACAGAGCTTCTGCTTTTTTATTTACTGTTGCATTTAGTGGGTCATTTACTATTTTAACTATTAATTTGTGAAGTAGTTTGTTTTCTGGAGTTTCTATAACTTTTCAGGGATGGATATTTGGGGCCTGTATTATCAGGAGTTTGGAAACTTCTTTTTTTCTTACTCATTTTTAGTCACAGTTGTAATGTTACACATTTGCTTGTCATGCTTTCCTTTTTTTTTTTTTTNTTTTTTTTTTTTTTTTTTTTTAGTCTGGAAATGCTGGACAAAGTAGAGCCACCTACAATTCCTGAAGGCTATGCCATGTCAGTGGCATTTCACTGTTTGCTGGATCTCGTCCGTGGTATCACGACAATGATTGAAGGAGAGTTGGGAGAGGCTGAAACGGTCACTCAGCTCACAGCAGAGGCACCCTCATCACCAGCACACTCCTCAGAGCAGCAGGATTTGCAGTCCGCATCTGACCAGTCGGAGAAAGACATAGGTATTTGAAAATGCAAATAGCGCAAATTACAAGACAAGAAGCAATCTTAGAAGTACAGTTTTATATTTATGTAGGTTCTTTTTATTATTTGTTTCTTATGGAGAAATTCTAGTATCTACATCATCCAGACTATGAGTTTTATGCAAAGGAGAGCCGAAATACTTTAGCTTTGTTGTTTGAATTTACACTTTTGAAATAATATGTAAATACCTTCTACTAAATAGTAATTTGTAGATTTTTATAATTTCCAGTCACTTTTGAACAAATACTTGGAAATAGTTCCTAAACTTTCTCTGAAACAGCTTTATTAGCGGAACAACAGTAGGCTATAAGAAGATACTTGACTCTTACATGCTTTTTGTGGCATATAGCATTGTAAGTGTATGTAGTCTCCTTATGAAACATAACTGTCAGTTATGTTTTTTCTGCTACAAACTCGCTATGTGTTTCTTTCTTTCAAGTTAGCAGAGCTGTCTGGGAAGAAATGGTGAATGCGTGTTGGTGTGGTCTTCTTGCTGCATTATCCCTCCTGCTTGATGCAAGGTATTTTGTCTTCTGGAATTTCTTCCATAGATTGTATTCCTAGTTGCACCTTGAAGTGAGTTCTGAAAGTGCTCATATTGACAGAGAGAATATGATAAAGAGTATGGGAGAGAGCTCGTCATGGTACAGAAGGAGACAATGCCAGAGGAGTGTGTTAGCAATGGGTGGATTGAGTATCTGTTAGGTGTTAACTGCCTGCAAGGCCCTGAAAATGTAGCATCAGAAATCAGAAGTAGATAGTTGTACATACATGTGATGTACGTGGACCTCTAATATAGAGACAGCAGTAAACTAGTTTTCAGATTACCATTTAAATTCTTTATTTTTCTGGACTGAATGTTTTGCTATATTGAAGTGATCCCTCTCAAGTCTTAGTTCCTGTTGATAAAGTGATAAAATATTTTTCCAGTGCTTTTTAACATTATACAATATTATCTTTGAAGTGAGTACACTGTTTAATAGATAACAACTTTGGCAACTTAACTGCCCGTTTCAAAGAGTCTTTATTTATCAAGCCCCCTTTTTCTCAAATGTTGAAGTGTTAAATATCTCCTTGTAGGCTCCTTTGTGCTAAGTCATTCAGAACTGAAGACCAGTTTTGTAAGAAACAGTTTTAAAGAATTTTGCTGATTAGTTATGCTTGCTCTTCAGCATTTGTGATGTTGCCAGTTTTAAACCCTGAGTTCTCACTGCTTTCATGTTTGGTTAGCTCTTGTCTCTGTAGGGGCGTGTGCATTCTTACTAAATGATATGTGCTCTTTCAGCACTGATGAAGCTGCCACTGAAAATATTTTAAAAGCAGAGTTGACCATGGCTGCACTTTGTGGACGTTTAGGGCTCGTCACGTCGAGAGATGCCTTTATCACCGCCATTTGCAAAGGGTCCTTGCCTCCTCACTATGCCCTTACTGTATTAAACAGCACAACTGCGGCACTCTCCAGCAAATGTGAGCTACATCATCGCTACATCAGCTACATCTACATTTCATTTATTATATGCTCATACATGTTTAGTTTTGTTTCATGTATCATCTGTGCTAAAATAACTCAAAACTCAGCTTTTATTCTCAAGATGTGATTTCTAACATAAGCAGGTGTAGTGTTCTTTGGCATAAAGGATTTGGCTCAGTTAATTTTCTTTATTCATTTGTGGTGTTCTGCAGTCTTTTGTATAGTTGTCTAGTGACTCTAGTACTTATGGAGTGAATGGCAAGTCTTAAGTTCTGGTCTCTCTTCAGCTTGCAAAAGACTTAATTGCTGCTTCCGATATCCAGAGGAGGTACAAGCACCAAGTTGTGAAATATGTACAGATGATGCTGTACACTTTCTGATTTTAGAAACTGAATTATTATTAGCAAGAAATTTTAGCTGCACATTGGCCTAACAGTAGATCCCTAACACAGACCTCTGGGTCTGGCTTTCTGGGAAGCAAGAGCCAGAATCTCGTCTTCAGGCCCCTAGCTGAGGAAATGGAGAATTGTGAGCAGGGGAAACAGTTCTAACAGTGAGGTGCTGCTCTCTGCTAAAGTGTAGTAGTTTTGCAAGTTGCAAATGTAGTTTATAAACATAAAATAAGTTGGATCTGACTATTTTTATAGTATATTCCTTGGATTTTCTGAAGAGAGAGAAGCAATGAGTTTCACCTTACTGTGGCTAAGTTGGTATGCTACTCTATATAAGTTACAGGTAACAGTTAACTTGCAAAAAGGATCACTTGGTCCTGTACTGGAAAAACATCACAACATAGCAAATACAACACCCTTATTTTCAACCTGCACAAGTTACAGCAGTAGCACAGACTGATTTAAGAAAAATAACAGAGTTGAGACACATATTCAGCCTGTAGATGCTTGCACAAATATTCCATTTTGGACATACAAGTTGCAAGCCATATGTTGTAGTTAAAGGAACCAGCATTAATTTGTCTCCCTTTAGCCCTTAAAGCAATACTGTAGTAATATAAAATATCTGCAGATCTCAATGTAGTGAGCTGCTGTGAAGTTAGTACTGTGATTAAAAATTCGCAGAAATTTGTTTGTCAGAAGGTGGTGGTTGTTACTTGAGTGAGTATTGGCTGTTAATTTGGGGCTTTTTTTTCCATTTTCCTCTAGCATATTCTATTCAGGGACAGAATGTGCAAATGATCAGTCCCTCAAGCGAGTCCCATCAGCAAGTGGTAGCAGTAGGCCAGCCCTTAGCTCTTCAGCCCCAGGGAACAGTGATGGTAAGTGCAATTTGTGAAGGATCTGTCGTGCTTAACGGACTCTTTGTGCATGTCGGCATGTCTCAAAAGAGACAACAGATGATCTTTGTAGAAGTGCTGTTTATTTGATGTGTTCTCACAGGCTCTTAATTCAGACAGCAAAGCTCTGTAATTGTAAAGAAGGTTTCCTCCAGGCTTTTATCTGAATTTTAGTTCAGCTCCTACCTACTTCGTTTGGAAGCCCTTGGATCTCAGCTCTGTTTTGTGTCTCTGTACGAAAATTTGCCTTAAGTTTTGTTGCCAGACAGACTGACATTGTAGAGAAGATGTCCTTAAAGCTCTCCAACTTCAACCTGTGTTTTTGATCTTCCAGTTTCCTGAGCGTTTTCACAATTCCCTGTGTCATGGTTGTCCTGCTTATGGACCACTCTTCTGTTAGGAGCTTTTCTTGCTTTTGAGTTTGTCTAGTTTGACCTTTATTATATGTAGCTTGTTCTCTGCTTGGTTCAGTGAAGTAGCATCATTTTTTTGCTGCCTCTATTCAACCCCAGCAAGATAAGACTGAGGGATGGAGAATTGTTGAATTAATTATGTAAAGTAGCTGCATTGCACCAGTGCTAACTTTAAATGTGATCTTTAAGCTACTTAGTTAAATTTAAAAGGCAAATTTCCTGGAAACATTATTATTATTATTGTTACTGTTATGATGATGATGATGATGATGAAACAATATGTACATATACATATATATTTATTTTTTTTAAGCTGACTTCAAAAAATATCCAGTGCATGAGGACGTTACTCAACTTGGCCCACTGCCATGGAGCTGTTCTTGGTACATCGTGGCAGCTTGTCCTGGCTACTCTTCAGGTGCGGTAAAAGCTTTGATTTTTCATGGCACTTTGAGTTGCCTTCAGTACCTACTGTAGCATCCCTTTTGAGATCTGTTGGGCCGACTGGCTGCCTATCTCAGACAGTGTTAAGTTCCCTCTCCCTTCTTTAAAGAGGTTTTCATGGAATACCTGAGACCTAAATATTTCTGTGTAAATAAATCTAAAATAATGTGCTTAAATATTTCTGTCACTTTATAGAAATCTATGTTGGAAAATCATCCTTTTGTATTTCAGCATCTTGTGTGGATTCTGGGATTGAAGCCAGGTGTTGGGGGTGCCTTAAAGCCTGGAAGAGCTGTAGAAGGGCCCAGTACAGTAAGCACGATTGTTTGTTCTGTACCCGAATGATTATGCAGTGTTTTCTGTTGCAATCTATAAGACAAATTTCTGTTTCTTTTTAAGGTTCTGACTACAGCAGTTATGACTGATCTGCCAGTTATATCCAACATACTTTCAAGGCTGTTTGAAAGCTCACAGTAAGAGACCTCATCTTGTATTTGAACTAATGTGTATGTATCAAACTTAGCAACGCTTTGATAGCTGTTATTTTTCAGGTATCTTGATGATGTGTCCTTACATCACTTAATAAATGCCCTTTGCTCCTTGTCCCTGGAAGCCATGGATATGGCCTATGGAAACAATAAGGTAGAAAAAGACTTTTCTGTTTTCCTTTTAGATTTTTTTTTTTTTTTTTTTTTTTTGGTGAGGCAAACAGAAGATTTGTCTATTTGTTAAAGCCAACTGCTTCTGATAATAAGCCAGTATTATATTTGATACTCTGGACTATAAAATAAACTAAGAACCAGAAAATGCCTTGTTTATAATGGTTTATACAGTTGCTAAATCCTCTGAGCATTTTCATTGTATTCTGGGTTTGATTTTTGTTAACTAAGGAATGCCATGTGTTTCCACTAACCAGATTAGAGAGACATAAAATTTGAATAAGCTGTTTTAAATTCAGAGAGTATTTGGAATGGCACAGTACATTCTCTCAGGTGCTGATTTTTTGCCCCCCCCCCCTTTTTTTTTTTAATAATACACTTCAAAAATAAGCATGATAATTTTGATATTAAACAAGCCTGATAATTCTCACTTACTCGAGAAAATGATAGAATAAGTGAGAGATTTTAATAATAAAGAGAACAGCAAATTGGAGTAAATTGCAACAGTGAAGAGAAGAATACTTACAGTACAGCAGTAACTTTGAATATGTGCCCCTGCGCCATGTGCTCTGGGTGTCCCTGCTTGAGCAGGGCGGGGTGGACTAAGTGATCTCTAGGGGTCCCTTCCAACCTCAGCCACTATGGGATTCTTTATTATTATTATTATTATTATTATTATTATTATTGTTTTCCTTTTTACAAGTCTGTTGTAAATACTTGTGTATGAGTTTGATAAATGGAATTTTTCATATTCCTGCGAGACCTTTCTGATAAAGCAAAAGGGCACCCTTAATGAAGTAATATATAATGTTCATTTACGTGTACTTTCTGACTCTAAAAGTCACGGTGGCAAACAAATCTATTTTGCTAGTAAAGTGCGGTATGCATTGCTTCATCTTAACAGTTTTATAAAAATGACACTTTGGAAGGGAATATTAGGACCTCTGAGTCCTTGCTCAAACTAGGAGAAAACTAGGTGAGAATTCTGAAAAGAGTAGTCTGAAAGGCCTATTCCTCCTGGTATTCTGTTGCTACCCCCTTGTGGCTTCTCCTGCAGAATTGCAGCTGCTGTGGAAGCCTCCTGGTCCTGCTACTTGTGCAGGAAAAAACTGTCAGAGCAGTCCCTGAAACTCAGGAGCACTCCCAGGCAGGCAGGCTGCAGTATAATGTAGAGGAAGGCTCTAACGTGACTGCAGCTCACTCAGAACCGTGTGGTCACCTCCCCTTTCACGCAGGAGCCGTCGCTTTTTGCTGTTGCTAAATTACTGGAGACGGGACTCGTTAACATGCACAGGATTGAGATTCTGTGGAGACCTCTGACCGGCCACCTTCTGGAGGTAACTGCTTAGTCATAACAGAAGCTCATTTGTGATAGTGACGTTCTCATGGAAATGCATTTCCACAAGTATTAAACGAAACAAAAAATATAAACCCTATTTAGATGTTTTATGTAGTTTGCTTGTACAATTGAATACATCACTGCTTGAATTTAAAGGTGCTTTTAAATATTTAAATCCCAGTATTTTATAGATCCTGCTAGCTTTCTCTTGACAATACTGTCTAGCAGCGTTAGACCATCTCTAGAAGTCCCTTCCAACCTCAGCCATCCTGTGCGATTCTTTTTTAATATGGAGCAGGAGAAATGAGTAATTCGGAAAAGTAGCTGTTTCTTGTCTGCATTATTTTGTTTGTTGTTTTGCTTTAACATGAAGCTAGAAATTGAGCTAACGTTAAAATGAGCCTCCTTCTCAGTTTGGCTAGTGGCTGAGAAGGAGACCATGCAGTATGGCAAACCACCTGCCTTCATTATGGCCCTGCCTCAGGCCTTGAGAGGGTCTGAATTCTGGCATCACCTAAGCTAGGGCTGGAAGGGCAGGTGGAAAGAATCGTTTCGAGGTCAATGGGATTGTAGGCCTTTTTAATCTACTTTGACAGACATATGTCAGGTTTGGCAGTACAGCTGATAGTCCGTTTGTGTATGTGGAATGGATTTGTGCATTATTTTTGTTTCGCTGTTCTGCAAAAAGCAAATAGCAAAACCATTAGGTTGTGGTGATGAGAATGCAAAGAACAAAAAGAAACAAAACCCTTAACATTTGAAACTTAAGCACATATTCAGTGTTCACTATTATTTTGTCAGGCTTTTGAAATAATGATTTGTAAGCCTTGTTTCACATTCACCATGTAGTTACTTTTTCCTATTTGAACATATAGAAGAACTCATGCTTAGACTGTGGTTAATATCTTGGTTCCATGCTTGATATGTTAAACTGAATGTGAAAGGTTGAAACTTAAGGATTTTACAGTATCATAAGGCCAAATTAACCTGAAGAGTTTCAGGCATTTCTTAGATTTTTTTTCTTTTGTACTTCTTAATACATTATGAGCGAACTAGCAATTAGTATATTGACATTGGAGAATGTTTATAATTGAACTACTGTGATTTTCATTTTGCTTCCTTCTGTCTTTCACTGCTTCCTATTGCTTCCTTATTCAGAAGGTATGTCTGTCCAAAAGACAACTTTTCTTTTTGACTGTCAAACTTAATGTTTATAATTTAGAGAATTGCCATATTTTTTGTATTATTGTATAATATTATAGTTGTTTGTAAAAGTTTGCTATAACTGATATATCCACTTTTTTCTATGTTAAATTTATTCAAATTTTGATTAAATAGAAATGGCCTTAACACAAAATACTGCTTTCTTTTCAGGTCTGTCAGCATCCAAACTCCAGAATGAGAGAATGGGGAGCAGAAGCTTTAACTTCTCTCATTAAAGCAGGACTGACATTCAGCCACGATCCACCTTTATCACAAAATCAGGTATAGTAAGTTTATGAAGAGCTGCTTTCCTTTTCTGGAACTTACAAAACATGAATATGAAATCAAAATCTTTCCTAGGGGAAGTGTTCCACAGTTCAGTGAGTATGTGCTACCATAGAGTTTGTTATGAGTTATGTTACCATCGACTTTATAAAGCCCAGAGCTGTGTGACATTCACATGTAGAGAATGAGCTCATGCCCTCCACTGAACTCCTCCACTTTCTTTTTTGCAAGTGCCTAAAAACAAATGATGTTGTTTTCACATTTTGCCCATTCATTAAATGAAGTTGTGAATAACCCTCATGAGTGCAAAACAGTTTCAGAATGTTCAGCAGCAAATATATGATCTAGTGGCTGGCAAAAAATACATTTTCTTACCTAGTAAATTGCAGCTAATCAGTCTATTTTTAATAAGCATCCCAGTGTTCTTGCTGAGTTTCACTGGGTGTCGTTTCCAAGGTGTGTTCAGTAGGACTCTTAGTCCAGCCCTGCTGGGTCGGCATAAAGTCACATCCTGGTTTTATACAGCTGGGCCCCCTGCTGCAGCTGGCAGTTAGCTGGGCCCTCCCAGAAAGACCTGGGTAACAGGTGGAAAAATAATATGTGTTTTCTGCTGAGATCCTTTCTAAACAGTTTTTTTTAGAAGGTCCAGTCTGCCACTGAATTCCAGTTTTTCAGGTAATTTTAAAAACCTCGTAAGAATCTTTGGTTAGTACTCTGTGGTTTTATGTACTATATATAAAAATAATTAAAGATCTTTTAGAGCATATTCTAAAGCTAAAAATTATTGTTTACTTTTAGAGGCTGCAGCTACTTTTATTAAATCCCCTGAAGGAGCTGTCAAACATTAGTCACCCAGATATCAGGATTAAGCAGCTGGAGTGCGTGCTACAGATCTTGCAAAGTCAGGGTGACAGCCTGGGACCCGGTTGGCCGCTGGTGCTTGGAGTCATGGGGGCAATCCGAAGTGATCAGGGGTAAGTGATGGGAAAAAAAAAATAAAACAGTGAAGATAACAGCAGAAAGAATTCTGCTTTTACTTTTTTTTACATAACTACTCTGTTAATAGACATATTTTTTTATTGTCATTTTTAGCTTATGAACAGTTTTACTCAACAGAAAACTAGTTTGGGTATTTATTCCTGTAGCACTTTTTTTTGTTTGTTTGTTTTTTGTGGGTTTTTTTTTTTTTTTTTAAATGAGCTGGCCTTTCAGAAAACTGAGGTATTGCATCATTCTACCTTCTCCCTTGGCCAGCATGCAGCGTACACTGAGGAGTGCCTCTTTTGCCAGTTCTGGTTCTCAATCATCTCGTGAACACCTCTCTCATGCCACCAAAGAAATCTGCCGATTTAGCTGTTTCTTTTTCTCTCAAACATGTTGTCTTGCTTGAAGTTGTGATCACAAGATATAGGCACTATTGCCATGTTTTAAGCTTACTGATCATTAGACTTCATTTCCAAGTGTTTCCTTCTGGTCAGGCAGCATCCTGACTTCCAGGGAACAGATTAATTTCTCTTTCTCTTGCGAGGCTGCTATAAATACAGCAGATGCTGTTTGAAGCACCAGTGCAACTTCAGTCCTGTCTTGATTGCACCATACTAGCCTGCCAAGCAAAGAGAATTCTTCCCTTGAAGAATTTCTTTTCCTTGGGATATCCCTGTCTCTTTCAAAATTGATGAATAAAGCTCTAACTGATCTAAAAGGTTTCTAGAGCTAAGGTTAGATTTCTTGCATTTGTATTTCCTCTTTGGTTGTCCATTCACGGCATTAAGAGCAACCCAATGTTTTGAAGAGCTGTCTTGCAGTTGCCATTTGGGTGAGGAGCTTTGCAGCCTTCCTCCCAAAGCACCGCGTATCCCAAGGAGCTTAACTGGGAAATGAGTTGGGTTTAGAGTTTGTTCCAGTGGCCTCCTATTTAAAGATGAAAAGGGAACTTGTAGATGTGTTTCACATAATAAACTCATGTAATGAAAAAGAGGGAAGGCAGCGTCTGAGCGCTACCTCCTTGAATCCGTTGTTCTTCAGCAGTCGGATGGGGGTCTGTCTGTAGTCCACGTTTAATAGAGGGCAATTAGCTCACTGTTGTTGTCCACCTGAAGATTCTTGGGCATTCTCCTCACTTCCATCTTGTGTTGCCTGTTGCAATCCAGTAGAAACGGAGACACAGTACAGACCTGCTGGGGACTTCTTATTTTGGATTACACAGAAAGAAAAAGTGGTTCTTTAATATTCTGAAGTATATAACTCACACCTGTGTTCTGGATTTTTTTCCTCGAATATATCAGAATATATTCCTGGAGTATATTCTGAAGGACACAAGGCTTCTATATTACAAACTTTTTTTTTTTTGGTTGAATATTAGACATTTTCTTAATTCTGTAGTGAATTTTAATGTAGTTGCAACATTTTGCCTCCCTTATTTTGTGTTATCTGCACTCCACTACACATTTTTCGTTTCTGCATTTCTTCTCTTGCTAAGTAAGTTTTTGGTGATAGATGATCAGCCTGCTTGTGAGAGCTTCTCTCGTAAATCTTTTCTCCACTGTAGTGTTATTCTGTATTTGAATCCAATTCTGAAATTGAAATATTTATTGAAGCTATAGCTAGAGGCAGAGTTTTTTCAAAACACTTTGTCTAATGTAGTACTGTATTGAAGCAACTAGGGTCATGTATACAAGCAGCCATTAAGTTGGCACTCATTTTTGCTAAAAAGTAAAAAGAAATTTCTTTTACCTTTCCATCTGGTTGGCACACTTGGAAGCAATTTTGTAACATCTGAAACCAGAAATTGTTCAGAATGGCTTATTCTTTGGAAGTTTATAACGCTTAAACTTAAGCCTTGTTTTGCCTAATATGGCTTTTTTAGAGTGTCTTAGCTCACACCTTCAAATCAACAAGTACAAGAAATTCAGAACAGAGAAACAGACTTTTTAATGCTTTAGCTATAAAGAAACTAGATGAAGTCTGTTGGAGGATCTTCAGTAGTTAATATGACTAAAATACTATATCAGAATTTGAAACTTCAGCTTAATGTCAGATCACACACACAAAAAATCATAAGTGAAAAGTATTTCAAATTTATCGTGAAAAACTTTAAAAGGATTTTTTTTTTCTTTTCCAATAATGGTAACTCCTGAGGTATTGTAATCAAAAAGTTTCTGTGCTCTTGAAGAAATTTGAAATGAGTATGTGTGTGTGTTGTGTTTGTTTTTGTTTTGTTTTCTTAAGAGAGTCCTTAATACGGACTGCATTCCAGTGTCTTCAGTTGGTTGTGACAGACTTTCTTCCAACAATGCCATGTACTTGTCTACAGATAGTTGTTGAAGTTGCAGGAAGCTTTGGACTTCACAATCAAGAGCTAAATATTAGCTTAACTTCAATTGGTTTGTTGGTGAGTTTTATATTAACCTACAGTGATGCTGCTTCTGACTTTCATTTTCTTATTTTTTTAATGCAAATTAATTTCTAGTCTGTTCTACAAATGAAAGACAAAACCCATATTCTGAATTATTACACAACTCCCATGCAGTCATTTTGAATCATATCAAAACCGGGCAGTTTAATGCTGTATAACACCATGTTTATGTAAAACAAACTGCACCGTGTTGCAAACATGTTCACCAATAAAAAATTCCAATTTTTTCCCCTTTTTAGTAGTTCATTTATCACAGAATCACAGAATATCCAAGGTTGGAAGGGACCTCTAGAGATCATCTAACCCAACCTTCCTGCTCAAGCAGGCACACCTAGAGCAAATGTATAATGATGTACTAAAAGTTACAGCTAAGAAATATGCTTTCTGTGTCTTGCAGTATTTACATGCTGATCTTCTTTTATCAGTGTATTTGATGTACTTAGCAAAATAGTCCTAAGCATAAAAATCCGAGGTGTTTAATTATCATTAAGAATATTAGAATATCCTTGTTTTCTAACAATATGTTTTATTCATCTTGTAGTGGAATATTTCGGATTATTTTTTCCAAAGAGGTGAAATAATTGAAAAGGAGCTAAACAAAGAGGAGGCAGTTTTGCAGAAGCAGGCGGAAGAAAAGGGGGTGCTGCTGAACAGACCGTTCCACCCCGCGCCGCCCTTCGACTGCCTGTGGCTGTGTCTCTATGCCAAGCTCGGGGAGCTCTGCGTGGACCCGCGCCCCGCCGTCAGGAAGAGCGCCGGGCAGACCTTGTTTTCCACCATTGCGGCACACGGCACTTTGCTGCAGCACTCCACGTGGCACACGGTCATATGGAAGGTACAGCTGAAGGGCTGCAGGGCTGTGTTGGTGTTCTAAAACAGCACGAGCTTGAAGTGTTGCTAGAGATGGCGTATGGAAACAGAGTTGCCTCTCTGGCTCCTTTATTTTTAATAGCACTTTCCTTTGGCTCCTAAAGAGCATCCCAAAGCCTCTTGGGAAACTTCGTTCTTGTGCCTTGGTCATTTTTTTCTTATGCCAATGTAGTATAAGAGGGTGCTCCTTTCCTGCACAGATAAATTACTCCTTCATTTGTGTGAAAATTTGGTGACATTAGAGGGTTGTGTGGTTGGGTTTATTGGATCTGTCAAATGTCCTTTTCTGGATCATGGTCATATTAATGGTGCCAGCGGAGAAATCAGGCTGTAGCTGCATCAGCTGTTGTGCCTGAGCAGCATGTGAGGTCCATAGATGTTGGCCTTTCATCAGTACTACCCCTACTCTCCAGACTTCTGGCCATGCTGTTTCTCAACCTTCTTAGGTGAGCAGCTATGTAACACCTGGCTAATCATTTGGCTGATGGTTCCTCTTTGCTGTAGATGAGGCTATTCAGAATAAGGGAACTCTCCAGGTTCCACAATGGTGTAAAGGATAATAGAAAATAATTTTCTTAATTCCTCTTTATTTTAGCATGAACATGAATATCTTATTTCAAGAGTTGCTTTTCCCCCTCCTTTTCTGACCATTACAGGTTTTATTTCACCTGTTGGATAGGGTTCGAGAATCTTCTACCACAGCTGACAAAGAGAAGATTGAATCAGGAGGAGGCAACATCCTCATCCATCATTCCAGGGATACAGCTGAGAAACAGTGGGCTGAGACATGGGTATTAACCCTTGCTGGAGTTGCAAGAATATTTAACACCAGGAGATACTTACTGCAGCCTTTAGGTAAAACTATTGAAAGATACAATAGTGTCCCTTCGGATCTGTATATTTTTTTCCGTTCGAGTACTGGGGGTGCGTTCTGTTGCATCTCACCTCAAATGAGATGAAAATCGTGTTCTTGATACATGTTCCTTAGCCCCAGGTTTGAAGTATCAGATTCATCTTCTATACCATTTTAGCTGAGAATAAATGTCCCTGTTCACAGCTCTATGTACCAGATAATTTTTGTTTATCATAGACTGGTAGCAATAATGATCAAAACATCAGAAAATTTTCCAGAATCTATTTTAAGGTTATAGAATATGTGCCTAGAATAGTGACAGTAAAATTAGTAGAGTAAAAAAAAAAAAAATCAAAACTCTGGACTTTTCTCAAATGGAAGAAAGGGAATTTCTTAAAGAAAAAGGGAGACTCTTTAGTCCATGGAAGTTGTTATGGTTATGCTCTTTCAAGTGTGGTGTTCTTTGTTTTTGTTTTCCCCTCATACCCCATTTAAGCCCTGTGTCAGTCTTAACTGCAGCCAACAGCTTTCTCTGTTGTTGTTGTCCCTTCCCCAGCTAGAGGCCACTTGAGTGAGCTTACCTCTGCCTTAAATTTTCTCTCCTCTTTTGAGTCTTTATTTTCTCTTGGTACTGTTACTTCTTTCTCTTCATTTTTTTTTCAATTTTCTGTATTTTGTTTTCTCTTTCTCATAAAAAAAAAATTAGGTTATTTATCAAGATATTGTTATTATTTATTGCTAGGTACAGTTGAACAATGTAAATGTACAATACGATATCACTTTGAGAGAGTTTTGCATAGAATAACTTTTTTGCTTCAGTTTAGACTTATCAGAGATGCTCTGATACATTTTTAAAACAACCTGTGTCTTCACTGTGTCATAGTATGTGTCTAATGTATGCATAACTAAAAATAAGGTATGTTTTACTTTTTAATATCATGATCTTTGGCTATTAGTGCTTATAGATACCAACATAATAACAGCTGTGAAGATTATCGGTTATCTCAAGAAAAGTAATGGATTTGAGAGTATGCTAAACTTGAGATAAAACTGAATAATAAAACATTGCAGGGAAGAAGTAATTATTGAAAACTGGTAATTAGCGGCAAAGAAAATTTAGGGCTAAATTTAATGAAAATTGTAAATCATCTGAAAATGATGAAAATCTTATACTCCAAAATGAAATCTTACTCTAGAGTATAATTTGCATAACATTTTAAAATCAGTTCCTTGTAAATTGCTTGATTATAGACTTGTGTCTGTATTTCTTATATGTGCTTAACTCTTGCTAAAATGAACAGACATTTGCTTTGCGGAAAAAAAATCTGTTCAAGATTTCAGAATAAAGAAAACTTAATTCTCCTAGTGGTATGTGATGCCTAGATAGAAAATTTTGGTATAAGGAGTGATCTATTTGATCTTCATATTTGTGTATTTGCCTATTGCATTCCTTCTCTTGGGTTACAGTTGAAGTAATAGACTCTGAAGGCCAGTGAAACCATCACCTGACCTCAGGATATTTCCCTGAATGAAAAGCAACAGCCTTTCAGAGAGACAAAGAAAAAAAAAAACAAGCCTCCCCAAGTTGATTTTTGTTCCCTTTCTTTTTTTTTAATAGGAGACTTTTCCCAAGCCTGGGATGTTCTTCTTGATCATATCCAATCAGCAGCACTCAGCAAAAATAACGAGGTCTCCTTGGCTGCTCTGAAAAGCTTCCAGGAAATCTTGCAGATTGTTTCTCCCGCCCGGGAGTCGGAGAAGCCGGACACGCCGCCCGTGATCAACGTTTCTGTGCCTGTGGTTGTGGGGACAACAACTGCCACTAGTCTTGGCAGATCCTTTATGAGAACTGACTCCATAGGAGAAAGAATAGGAAAATATAATGGATCTGAGCCACCTATAATCACAGATGAAATTGAAGATTTGAATCTTTGGTGGGCAGCCTGGAACAGCTGGTATAGGATTGGCTCAGAAAGTACAAAGCCACCAATTACTTGTGATAAATTGACTTTCATTCCCAGTCAGCCTTTTCTCACAGCTTTAATTCAGATCTTCCCAGCCCTTTACCAACACATCAAAACTGGTTTCAGCATGGATGATCTCCAGAAACTGGGCCTCATTTTGCATGGTGCTGTTTCAGTTCCCATCAGCTCTGATGCTTCTCCTTTCATCCTTCCATCCTACACCGAAGCCGTGCTGACGAGTTTACAGGAAGCAGTGCTGACAGCCTTAGATGTTTTACAAAAGGTAATAACGTGATTTCAAATGCGTGGTGAAGGGTGAACCATGCTGGGGATCAGGTCTTCTGCTTGGAACTGCAGCGTTGTGACTTAAGCATTAATTGTTTAATTAATTATGATTGCACCAAATATCTTAGAGCAGTTGGAACTGCATTCCTGATGCAACCGCCCAGAGCTGCTCTACCTAAAAGTGAATAGTGCAGTCCTTATCAAAGGCACTTTTGCTGGACTGAAGAAATACCTGAAACGTTTTTATTGTTTACTTGCCTTAAAGCATTGTGTTTTTATGTGAATCTGAAAGTGGAGGTAGGGCAAGATTACCCCTAAAATTGTTCCTTACGTTGCCCAACTCATGCCATAAACGAAACGAGGAAGAATCTTGATGTTGAGACCTTGATATTCATGAAAAACAAAAAAATCTGAAAAGACCTTGGGTAAACCAGTTTCTTACCTCTCAGTAATGAGTGGCTGAAGGACAATGCAGCATCTTACCATAAGAATTCTTACTACATTCTTACTTACCTTGTCCACAAAGACAAGTCCACAAACCACCGCTTCATACAGCGGAGTCAGAAAACAGAAATTAGAGTGACCTGTGACTGGGCAGTAAAATATATAGGGAGTGTTCTTCTGAAATTATGAAGCATCTCTTTGCAGTAGTGATTCTTTCAAAAAGCATTATTTATGCAAAAGAAATAGTGATATCATATATTTAGTTTAAGTGTTGCTTAAAAGAAAGTATTTGGGAAATGCCAGAATTAAAACCACCCATATAACCTGACTTCATCCTCTTAGGGCTTTCACGTATTTTTCTTAGCTGTGCAGTCATCACTGTGCAGTCCCTTTTCCCTTCCCTTGTTCAGCCAGGATGCTGCCTCACTCAGTTCCCAGCACACGTGATGCCTATTGAATAAGCAGCAATTCAGTATCTTGTTTTCTCTGTGCTTAGCATGGGTTGGCTTGGCCCCAGCAAGGCAGAATCATCACCTTGCCATCACTGCTGTAGTTTGCCTGTTCAGCAGATATTCCTAAGTGCCCTTTGAGAACAGAGCTCAAAATAGTGTAGAATAAAAGCTGGTATCAACTCTCTGTTTTGAAAGTGGGAATATAAATAATACAGAGTTTTAAGAGCAGTCATATTTGCTAAATTTTAGTCCTTTTCTAGTGTCTTGAGGCCCTTTCCTGCAGGCCAGTGCTGTCTAGGTCCTGCTCTGCCCTCCTTACCTTCTTTATTTCTGCCCTGGTTTCCTCACTTAATCCCTCAATTTTCTGTGCTGCTTTTCTAGTTATTTTGTCCAGATCTTTTCAGCTCCCAAAGCCTCCTGTAGGTATTAGCACTTTTCTGAAAGTGTTCTCTCTAGTCTTCTTCTTATCAAGGTCTTAAAACTATTTTAGTTGAAGTTTCCTTAAAATAAAACACAAATTAAAAAACAGATGTGTCCACACACAGTCTGAATTGGTAATATGGTACTCTGAAAATGGGGACTTAAAATTGGATGTCTCAGGTACTCTAAGCTTAGGTAATTTTTCCTGCTGCACTATAGTTATATTACTTGCACAGCAACACTAACGTTATTTAAAAAATAAATTAAAATGGGTTTTGGTCTTGGTCAGTCCTGTGAAATGAGATGGTCTTTCCTCTAGGCCATGTAACACATGGGAATTCACACGGCAAGGCAGCCAGGCCAGGCTCACGGGCAGCAAGGCCATCTGTGCATTAGTGTGGCTGGACACCACAGTGTCTTTTTCCTCTGTTTAAATAAATGAGCAATCCAAGGTGTACACCGAGAAGCTACTCTGATAGTTAAAGGTTATGGTAATATTTGCCTGTTCTTTTAAGCAAAATGTTCATTACATGTTTGCATATGGATTCAGATTAAGTTTCCATGTTTGCTGTAATAGGAAGGATTGGGTCAATTCTGATTTTCTAAGAAATTCTGAACAACTTTGCAATTAGAGCATGAAAAAAAAATTAAAGAGGAAGCCTGACTGTTTTAATTAAGACATTTTATGGTGTGGTTGTCTGCACCAGCAAAGTGCTCTATAACTAATCAATATGAAACCAGAAGAGAACTTTTTCTCTCTTCCTGGACTTCTGTATCGAGCCTCTTTTAGACCTTTTGGCTTGTTCTTTGCTTTCTTCATATTCCTCATTAGAACTTCGCATCTTTGAAGGCTTTTACTACTGTAGCCTTTTCGTGCCTGTAAGTGGGGTGCAGGTAACCTTGAATCCTGCCCCTTGGAGCGGGATGGGTGCGAGCGCCAGCTCCACGCTGCACTTGCACCCCAGAGGGACAGTGAAGGCTTGGCCACTAGCGGCTGTACAAAAAACACTTGTTCATGATTGCTGTTGTTGTAATAGTTGTGAGATAGATCTGGACTATTGAAGAAATTACTCCTGGAATGCTTTCTAGGGCACATTTCTAAAACTACAGTCCCAGGACCATTTTTTTGTTTTACAACGAACAACAATTTACAGAATATATTGTTTATGTTGCTTTATATATCTTGCTTTATAGCTGTCTCTTTATTTAAGGATATAAACTCATGCACTTAATGCAATAGCTAGTGTCTGTTTTGAACACACTCAGTCACACGCTATGCTGGGCTGCTCTTGAGGCTCTCTGTGTGCGTAGGGAAATAATTACCCTGTGTAAGTTGTGCCACTGATCTTCAATAATGAAATAGAGAAGTACAGATAATGGCAAATATATTTTAAAATTTTACCATTAGAAATGCTGAGAGTCATCTGTAGGTGCTGTCAAGGTATTCTTAAACATCTGCTTAAGTAAGTTACTTTTGTGTGTGAGGAATAAAAGGGGTGTGTGGAGTTTCTTGTAATCCATGTGTCCGTGGAATCTTTTTTATTATTACTTTTTCTGTTTTCTATATGTAATTTTGCATTAAAAGAGGAGTTTTTGGCTAAAGTCCTGGCAAAGCCTCCTGTTTTTTTAGGAACAGGAGTGTTCCACTGCCTCCATAATGTTGGCTACGGTTGCTGAGCGTTGGGCTCATACCAGGCCAAAACCCCACACAGTCGGTATTGCAGAAAGCTGAGGGAAAGCGGAAAGGCCTTTAAGGATTCAGAGAACACCCTGCCACAGGCTGTAGCTTGCAGGTTGCTCTTCGGTGCCCCTGCTGCCCCTCGGGGCTGGGGTCTCGGGTTCTTTGGTGGCCTCTCTGCTGTCGTAGCTCGTGTGACACAGCCCGGCGCGCGACCTGCGCTCCGTGTTTTCGCACCGTGGCTGTGTTGGGCTGCAACAGGTCGTGGATGACCTTCCATTAGAAGATTTCAGTTTCTCCTCAGAGAAAAGTGACTGCACAAGCTCAAGGGTTTTATTTGTGGAGCAGCAGGTTTTTTTGGTTTTGTAGCTCTGAGAAGAAGGATTTTGGGAAGAAAAGCAAAGCATTTAGTCTGAAAGAAAATAACTGGAATAACTTCATAGGATCATTTTATCTGACTCTGAAAATAAATGTTCTTGTTTTGCCTAGGGATTTGAATTGCAGCCGGAAATCATTAGTTCATGACAGCAGGATATGCCCTTGGCATCTTCAAAGTACACCCCTCCTAAAATGTTTTCCATCCTAAATCAAGATGGAGCTTCAGCTAAGCTGAAGCCATATCATTCTCATTTGACTTATGTTTCTCTCTGTAAGATAATTTGGACTACATATAAAAACCCTCTGTGGATTAGTTCTGAGATGTAAATATTTCTTGAAATAGAATTTAAAAGATTATGTGACTGAGATCAACAGACAAGACATGTAAGGCAACTTGTATCCTGCTGTCATGTTACCACAGAGAAAACATACATATTCTGTTAGTCCAAATGAGATACCTGTAATTGCTGTACTACATATGGCTGGTATCTTGCAGCATCATTTGGTGTAATGAAATAACAAAAATCTTTTTTTTTTCCTTCAAACTGTTAAAAATGTACACGTTGTTTTATAGAGCATGTTCTTGCATAGTCCAGTTTCTGCAGGGTAACACAGTACTCAAATATATGCAGTTATTTTATTTTCATATGGATTGTGTTCTTGCAGCTTTGGAATTAGGCTGGCATAGCAAAATCTAGTGCGAGCTAAAAAACAATAGATTTCTTAGTTAGCAAAGACAGGTAAGAGATTGATAACCTGTAATTTTTTTATAACATTCCTTTTTGTGATGCTGGGAATTATTCTTTAGAAGTATTGAGGCAAGTTCTTCAAAGGTGGAGCTCAAGAGATGAATTAACCCCTCTTCTTGTTGTTTTGGTAATAGGCCATATGCGTGGGCTCAGAAAATATGCAGATCATGTATCCTGCAATCTTTGATCAGCTTCTGGCATTCGTAGAGTTTTCCTGTAAGCCCCCACAGTATGGACAGCTGGAAACCAAACACATCGCAAATGCAAAGTATAATCAGGTAATTCCTAATAAATCTCCTTCCTTTCATTTGGCTGCTGAACACAATTCAGCATTGCAGAGAGGTTGCTTAGGAAAATACGTTTATCCACATATAAAAGCTTGGCTGTGTGTGTTGAGTTTGTTTTATTTTTTCTTACCCTCTTCTGTTCCTTTTTAAATTCTACCTTCCTTTACTTTTTGTATTCCTCCCTATAGGAAAAGTCTTGCATGGACACTACACCTATTCACTATATCTGAATTTACCCCATGAATTCATTTAAAATAACTTGTACTCTATTTGATAACAAATGTAATAGAAAGGCATGATCATTTTGAATGGAGATGATGCCTTCAAGCTGCCAATTTTGGTATTGCACGTGCTGTAGAGAAGTGGAACATGTTCCATAGTTCTTTAAATCTACCTACTCAGCCCTTCACTAAGCATGACAATCTGAATCAGTGTAATCTAAGAGGTAAATGTTATGTATGTATTAATTCTTCTTATTCTGTTTGTCCTGCAACACATGGAATCACACTAGATACAACTATTTGCACCGGTGAGTTAAATTTCCTTAAAGATTGTCCTAAGTAGTTGTCTTGCATAGATTGCAACATTTCTCCCACTTAAATGTACTTTATTGTACAGTACATTGGCAAAGTCAGACTACCTTTTTTAAATTTTGTTGCTTGGACTATATTCTTAGCAAACCTTGCATGCAATAAATGGAGAGATCGATTCAAAATACACATTTTTTTTTATTCCTTAATTAGTACATCTTAATATGCAGGGCACTAATTGATTATTTTTTTTCCTAGGCGGAATGGGTTGCATTGAATTATGTACCATTTGCAGAGAGATCATTGGAAGTTGTTGTTGACTTGTATCAAAAGACTGCCTGCCATAAAGCTGTGGTAAATGAGAAAGTTCTTCAGAACATAATCAAGGTAAAGTTTTTGACATGCCTTTTTATGAAAATGAGGAGGGGAATTTTTTTTCTGCGGATGTTATTGATGAGGCTGTACATTTGGGCCTTTAGCTGGATCGTACAAGAATGTCAGCACGAGTATTTCGAAGTTAAGACCGAATTTAAAAGTTGTATTAAGCCCTGAAATTGCAACTTTAGATTTTGAGTCTTATGCACCTGTATCTGAAAAGCGGGCCTCTTGGTTTGACCCTGTAAAGATGCCTCCGAAGACCAGACTCTGACTTCTCAAAACCAGCTGCCTGCTGAGGTGTGAGGCGGGGTGTGTGTGTGTGTGTGTGTGTGTGTGTGTGTGTGTGCGCGCGCGCGCATGCGTGTGCACGCTCTGGGTGTTGGTGTGTGCTGAATGCTCTTTTGTGTGGTAGCTGTAGCTGTGGAATTTTGTGGGAGCAGAAGTGGGATTTTAAGATGGAGTCACCAAACTGGCAGCTTCTTTTGACCATGTTTCCATTTTAGGAAGTGATTTTGGTAAATAATCAAAGTAGTTTAAAAAAAAATAAATAAATTTAAAAAAAAAAAAAAAAACCTATGCAAACAGTGTGTGTGCTCCATGTTTTATCATTAATGAGTTTCATCTAGAGATACTAAAGCTGTGTAACAGGTTTTTAAAGATTTTGTTGTCTTTATTTGCTGTATGTTTAAGTTGTACTGTACATTTAATGTTCAAAATTCCACTATTCCAATTTTTTTTTATACTTGTGTATGTAATGTTGTTTTACATTCAACACTGACTGACTGAATGCCTTACAATGACGCTTGCAATTCAACTTTTTGCATTCTACAAAATGTTCAATTTCAGTTTGGCTTTTTTTTTAATTTTCTTTTCTTTGGGGTGGCTTCCTAGGAAGCAAGCTAAATTCTCCAGAGTTTACTCATGGTAATGAACTGTCTGCAGTCTGTTAGATGCTATGACAGCCTGTTTGTCAGGTTAATAAAAATGATAGATGGTAACATACAACAAGAATATTAGCAGGCAGTTTCCAATATAATTAGTAATGAATTGACTGGCTCCTAACTTTGTGTTTGGCGACAGATCTATGCTTTAGCCAGAAAGCATACAAATAGTCTTTATATTTTAAAAAGAGGTAAGATAGGGATATGTACTGTTATCCATGAAAATACTCACCGAGATGTACTGTGCAGATCTGTGGTAGATTTCTCGAAGCAACTATAAATCTTGTTTGAACTTTCTTTTGCAGACATTGAGAATACCTCTTAGTCTGAAATATTCTTGTCCCTCTGAAAGCACGTGGAAACTGGCAGTGTCTTCTCTTCTCAAAGTTCTCTCTATTGGACTACCAGTTGCAAGACAGCACGCATCTTCAGGAAAATTTGACAGTATGTGGCCAGAACTTGCCAATACCTTTGAAGATTTTTTATTCACTAAAAGGTAAGTGTTATTTTTTTCTCTCTATTTGTCTTCTCTCTTCTTTCTTCTTTTCGTAAGCATATTCTTGAGAAATCTGGCAAACATTCTTAAGTAATTTGCCTTAACTGACGCTTTAATAGTCTTTATTTGAGGGATATTTGATTTCTGACAATGATTTTAATGAATGAATGAAAAAGGGTAACCACTTTCAACAGGAATAGCTCAGCTGAGCTCCGAGGACAAGGCATAACTTTCTAATCAGGCCGTGGAATTCTGTGTGCACTCCCAAGAACGTTTCCTGTAGAAAGCTGAATACCTCAATTTATAGTTAGACATATGGCTGTATACATACGTGCATAATCTCTCAAGAACTGATAGCTGTATGTGCAGGCATGTTGAGAAAGTCCAAAGAAAACAACTACAGTGACCAATCCTGCCTGTGAGACATGGAAGGTGTATAAAATATGGTAAAAGGTTGCACTAAAGTAGTTTTCCCTTTAGGATGAGCAAAAAATGGATTTCTATACAGCAAAGACTGTTTGGGGCAGACATTACAAGAAACTCCTTTTTTCCAAGGAAAAATTAAAAAAGATTTAAAAAAAAAAAAAAAAAAAAGTTAGGTCTTATAGAAATTTCACATTGTCAGGCATCTTCTATTCTAAGTTTCTATGAACACCTGTGGATTAAAACCTTAAAGAACAGTTTTAATTGTGCCTCAAAGGAGGATGGGGAGTATGAAAAATTGAATTCCTTTACATCCTGCCTTCCTTGTGTGTATGAATGTAGATTTCAGTAATAAACTAATCTCTGTTTTTTTAATAGGAAACAGTAAGGTGATTGTGTGCCTAAAAGGAATAGGCTTTGTTGGTGGGGGTGTGTGCACTTCTTAAACACATGGAAATTCAACAACGAAACACAGCTGTGTTTACTAACAGTCGTAGAGTAGCAGATTGCCCAAGAACACACCAAAAAAGAAACTTTAATTTAGAGATGCATCCATTTTTGAAAATGTTGCAGTATGAGTTGATTGGAAATTTAGTTATAGGATAAGTCAATGAAAAAAACCTTTCCCTTTGCATATATATATGTGTGTGTGTGTGTGTGTATATATATATATATATATATATAAATCAAAGATATTAGGTAGTGGGAGGAACTTTAAAGAGTTCATCAAGACTAGGCAAAATGCAATTTAATCATCCACTATTTGTTTTGGTGCTATTTAATTTAAAATAATCTTTGCAGTAACTTTTTTTGTTGTTTTTGGTGCTTTTACTTCTCTGCTGAGATGAGGAAATCGGCCAACAACCTGCAGTCAATATTACTGAGGTTGCAATGAAGATTTCTCAAATTACTGTAGAAGGACTAATATGTCACTTTGTGAATACGTACTAGTATTAAAAGTAAATGAATTATTCCCAAATACCTGGAAGGCAGATGAAACATCTGTTTGGCATGTTTTTAAATGGCCCAGGTTAACACTGCGAGAGTTTGGGGAATTAAGGAGGATTACCATGGTTCTTAAATGCATTTCAAGATAAACTGCTGTCATCTGCCTGACTCTTGGCCAAAAATATCATCTGTTTTCTGCATTTGCACTGAGTGTTCGATGTATTTCTTGAACATTGTCCCCAGCAGAGAAACGCCCTCTTAACGTGTTGCTCCCTGAAAACAACCCTGGTTAGTGCTAGTTTTGCCAGTGTTTGCTCCCTCTCCTCCATGGGAGAATATTCCCTCTAGACGGAGGAAACTCAGTGCAGCTGGCAATATTTAGGTTCAGGGAATTTGGAAAACACCATTTGGACATCCTAGGAGATAAAGACTTGAATTGCAGTTGAAGTGCAGTTGAATTACTGCATTATCTGGATATTTAGCACTATACAATGTGTCTAGTTGTTCCCACTGCTTGTAATTAAGAACCAAATATAGTTAGAACTGGAATTAACTCTTTTCTGTTGCCATTATCTGTGGGTTTTTTTTTTCTCCTTCCTAATTCTGCTGGAAGTAAAATGTTTGTCAAGAAAGATCTTGCTTTTCCGCCTTTACTCCTGTACACCTTTTCATATTCCATACTTCCCACTATTTAAGTTTCTCTAAGTTCCATGCTATTACCAGTCCAAGCTTTATTCAAAACTAGGTAGATATCTTCCTCTCTTACCTGATCTTCAAATCTTACTCTTCAGAGCTGACTTGACAATGCTGGTATAATTATAATTATGAATTGTATGCTCTGCAAAACTTAAAAATACCTTGTTTCAGTCAGTCCCCCTGGCAGTGATGTGCAGCACGTTTACCTCGTTTTTCCCTTGTGCATTAAAATATCCCAGTGTGAACTTGCTGGTTTTTGTATCGTCCAAGCCCCCCGCTGGCTTAGGAAGCAAAAACATCCCTAGAATAGATACAATTCTTTTTTCACGGATGCTTCCAGTTTTTAGCCAATGCTTTAAACACTATTTTTTGGTCCAATTTAGCTCATAATTCTTTAATCATTATGGTCCCTGCAGTTGTATGCATCCAGTGGAACTGAACTGGCAGCAGTCAGGCCAAGGGCTTGGGTGAAGAACAGCCCTGGGAAACCTGTAGCCCTACAGCAGTGACCCTCCCCTTGGCCTGGAATGGGATTTGAAGCCAGGAGTTGAACGAGAGGAGATGGGTGGCTGATGTCCAAAATGTGACCTGGGTGTTTAAAAAGTCCAAAGAGCATCAGAAATGGTCTCTGTAGCTTTGTGCATTGGGAAATTTAAAATACAGCAACAAGTTGATGTAAAAGAAGTGAAATTTTACTCTCAGAGAATTAACAAGTTCTGAGCAACAAGCTTCAGCTGTTACATTTTTCTTTTTTTCTTTTTGTCCTAGCAAGCTCTATCTGAGGAGTCTCAATGATCTTGATTTTTATTTTAAACCGAACTGACATTTTAAAATTAATGCATTTCATGTAACTTCATTTACACAAAATCGTCTTGAGTAAAAGACTGACTTGCTTATTATTTCATATCATACCTCTTTCCCAGAGGGTTTTATAGAAACATGTCAAGCCATTATATAAAATAAAATCCAACAAATGTGCGTGTGTATAATTTATTAGAGCAGAAGTCTGGGCTCACATGAGGGAATTAAATCAATACTTTCCAGAGAGCTGCTGGAGAGCAGGGCCTCGTTGTGCACAGCAGGTCTCGCCATGCCCGGTAACTCTTCCTTGTTTTAGAGCCTTAAAACAAGATGCTTTGAAGCCTTCCCTGGCCAGCGGGAGCAGTGGTCAGAAGCAGTGGCCCCTGTGTGCTTCATATTGGAGCCCTGCAGGAATGTCCTCACGTGGCAGGAACCTGCAGCCTGAACGGGAATTTTGTGTGGTCTGCAGCATGTGCGTCAGGTGAAATGGGGATGACCGGGCTCCTAAGTGAGGTCCTAGGACAGTCTCTCTGGCCAAAAAAAAAAAAAAAAAAAAAAAAATCATTTAATTTAAGATGTATCATCATCACATACAAATAGGCACAACAGCAGTAAGCTGTAGCACAGGCAATCGTAAATCCAGAAATTCTATCCATTCCTTACAAATGGTGGGATTTCCAAGCTGTTCCATAGCTTGGTGATGTTATATGTAGTCGTTTTGAAAGGATAAACATAAAATTGAACGAAGGAAGACAATTTACTATTTGGAATCATATTGATCTTTTATAGAACCTTCCCTCAAATTGTTGCTGTTAATATTACTGGCGATTACATCAGCTCTTATAGAATATTCTATGCAAACTAGTGTTTATGCAAGATGTGACGGAGAAGCAGAACCTGCAGTTTTCCGTGGGTTTCACAATTGTTTTGAAATTTCAAAGGAATGTGAGCAGGAGAACTCTGGCTTCTGCTCTGCATCAGGCAAAGGGGAACGGCCTGACCAGGCCGGATCAGGTCGACATCCGGACTTGCTGCGTGTCGCTTCTGCTGGAGGAGCAGATGCCAGAGGAGGAGCGCAGAGCACCTCCGCAGTGGTAGTTTCCCAGCTACTCCTCCAGGCTCGTGGTTTATGGAGCTTGGAAACTTCCTGTGCCAGAGGCTGGTGCAGGACACCCGTTGGTACTACGACACTGATTCATATTAATTGTTTATGATTTGGCCAACCATATTTTGCATCTGTATTTCTTAGAATGTAATTCTGTGATGCAGAATCATAAACACGGAACCTTGGCATTTAACTGTCTGTTGAGTATGTTGAGTAAAATACATTCTTTGCTCTCCATCTTCCACTCCCACGCCCCAACTTCTCTCTTAGTCCCCTACTTTCAGCCTCTTATTTTGGGACAGAACTGATGCATCAAATACTGCATCTAGTCTGGCTTCCTGTGGTGTGATCATCTATGGCTTATTTTAATCGAAAAGGAATCCAGGTTTGCACTCTCTGAGATCAGATGCGAGCTGAGGTTTGGAAAGGGAAGCGATGGAAGGATCCACCTCAATAGCAACTGTATGATCCAGCAAGAGCTCTTGAGCAGAATCCATGAGGTGGTTGATTGTTTTTGAAATGGGAGGTCCCTCTCTTTCCATCCCCTCTGAGGACGTCAGCTAACTTGCCAGAAGCATAATTGGGAAAAGGGAAAAAATGGTTAATTTTCTGATAGACTGGAGAGTTTGATCAACTGAACAGATGGTCTAGTAGATAGAAGGAATGACTCAGTGGATGAGAGAGAACTTGCAATTTCTGAATATATAAGACAAAGGAGATTATTAATACAGGTAGGAGAAATAATGGTGTTGATATTGTAAGTACTTAATCCAGTCCATCAGTTTTAACTCTTAAACCTTAATTATATTTCTTTTTTTTCAAACCCTTTTCTGCATCATTATTCATAAAATGTTTTATTCAAAACTGTTCGTCATTACCATATACAGTGCAAACTTGATGTATGTAATAACTTATCTTTAAATGTAATGCATTTTCTCCCCGTTTTTACCTCCTGACATATTTTGTGAATTTGAAAGTATAATATGGTGTGTTTATTTTTAGTACACCTCCTGATAATCTCTCAATTCAAGAATTTCAGAAGAATGAGAGTATTGATGTTGAGGTAAGGAGAACATAGAAAAATGTATTGTGCTGTCAACCATACAAGGTAGTGACATTAACAGGTCCCATGTATTCTTGAAATTATTTTTGAAAATCATTGATTTGATATTTCTTGGCAATATTTCTTTTTGAAAGCAAGACTGACAACAAATTCATAAGCCCAGAATTTGCAAAAAGTGGGAAGCTGTGTACCCAAAACATTTTCTTGTTGTCATCTGGCATTCAAGGTAGCCTAAAGTAGATAGAAAATATGTGTTTCTAATAATCCATTATCTGATTCTTATTCTTTATGCTACTGTGAAGCAATTACATGGGTAATTATAAATGAACAGAGGAAGCTGCAAATGAATCCTAAAGCAAATGCTTCTTGTGTTTGAGGAGTGAGATTCAGTCAGTGCTAACATTTACCTTTCTAATTATTTTTTTCATTACAAAAAGCATGTGTGTAAGTGGAGAAATGATCCCAAATGATCCCATGTTTATACTGTACCGAGACCATGGTGATTGTAAAGGAAATAGTGTTTGGTTGGATGACACGGAAGGAAATGTAGAGAAGAAGGTATCTGGAATGAAGAGGGGCTGGTTGCCTTTGTCTGCAGGGAGTGGGAGCACAAGGAAAGGGAGCTGCAGGGAGGGGAGGGGATGTCTATGGCTTGGATCTCCTGTCACCTCTCCAGAGTGGCAGCGGGACCAGAAAAGCTTCAAGATAAGAAGGAGCAGTGCTGTCTGCAGATGGCAGGACGGTGAGGTCTGCTACGTGAACGTGCAGAGGGTTAAAACCGCTTGGTTCCTGACTGGGAACATCCAGGACAGGGATTTAAGGCCTTTCAGTTGGTGCGTGCTGCCCTGGTTAGATGGTTGCCTTCCACTCTCCCTTGTCGGTGTGTGACGTGGGTCACAGTGAGGATGCTGAATTGGGTGGAGAGGCAGGTGGAAGTTGGCTCTGAATGCCTCGTCCTCTCCTTTCATAACTGTAAATTTAATTTGGAGAACAGCTTCAAATGTCAGTGACAATCTGAGTGATAACTGCTTAAGAAACTCAGACAGAACCCTCCTCAAAATAGCGGTTCAGCTGTAATTTCTTAAACAAAAATCCCCAATTTTTGGAGTTACTGCACTGGAAAATATTTTTGAGGCTTCATTAGACTTGGATATTCAGATTTTTCTTGAACATTGAATCTTGTTTAATGCGTCTCTCTCTAATGTTAATAGAATTACAAACTTTAATTTCCAGCAAATCAGTATGACTATATTTATATTTTAGGTGGTGCAGCTTATCAGCACAGAGATCCTGCCGTACGCTAATTTTATTCCTAAGGAATTTGTTGGTCAAATAATGACTATGCTCAATAAAGGCTCAATACATTCTCAGTCATCCTCGTTTACAGGTATGGTACCTGACTGACAGAAGATACTGAAAATGGTGTTTAAATCTATTAGAAAGTAAAGAAAATGGTGACAGTACTTATTCTTATCAAAACTTGAAGCTTCGTGACATATATTCAGTTTAAATCATTGACTTTAAAGCTTACATTCTATTTCATAAAAGTTTTAAAGCATTTCATGTGCTTTTTTTTTTTCTAATTTTTTTTGTCTTCTTGTCAGTACTCTGTTCAGTTTGTGCTTGTGTTTCTTGGACTTCCTGCATAATTATCTTCTTTATGACAGTTGAAGTAGCTCCGGTGATTTTAGACAATTATAAGACAGACATAAAATCCTTTAAAAAAGCTAGTTTTATTTTAGCATGGCTAAATGATGTAACTAATAACGTAACTGGGTGGTACATGTTAGTAACTGTGTTTTATTTATATATATATTTATTCATATAAAATCTTTTATTTGGGGCGCTATTACGATTATTTTCCAGTCACCTTTTCTTAGAATGTGTTGATAATATTTGTCAGTGCCAATCTTTTAATTCCATAGGGGTGATATTTTAATTGCTTTTTGCGAAAAAGTTAGTTGATGGAAATGCAACATTTACTATTCTAGCTTGCACTTCACACAATTAAATAAAACATTTTCCTTTGACAGAGGCCGAAATAGATATTCGGATGCGAGAGGAGTTTTCTAAAGTGTGTTTTGAGACGCTGCTCCAGTTCTCCTTCAGTAACAAGGTCACGACCCCTCAGGAAGGCTACATCTCCAGGATGGCCCTCTCTGTGCTCCTGAAGCGCTCCCAGGACGTGCTGCACCGCTACATCGAGGATGAGAGGCTCAGTGGCAAATGTCCTCTGCCACGGTATGTCCCGCAGCGCCGGGAATCAGGGGCAGCAGCCTCCAAGCTGGAAGCTTGCAGAGTCTCCTCCAAAGTATGATAAAGTGTCCAGGAGCATTGGTGGGAATCACTGCTCAAGTAACTGTTGTTGAGACAAAAGTATTGACCTAAGCGTAGGTCAAATTGAGTAAATACTTAAAAATGTGAACTTATGTTTTGATTTCAGCAGAAATGTTTTTGATGGTTTAAATCCACAAGACTGATGGAATTAGCTATTTTCATTTCAAGTTAATCACGTGCATCAGTATTTTTAGACCAAGATATGTATGCTGTTGCTTTTCTAATAAATTTAAAGCCCTCTTAGCCAGTGACAGTTACGATGGTGGAAAAATTAAAGACCAATGATAACCACTGTGACATAATATCTGTTCAGTAGGCTTCACTGCAGCTTTTTAATGTAAGTTTCAAGTGAAATCTATATTCTTGAGATTAAATAGTACAGTTGATTTTTGCATTTTTCCTTTATAGGCAACAAGTAACAGAAATCATATTTGTTTTGAAAGCTGTGAGTACTCTCATAGACTCACTTAAGAAAACTCAGCCTGAGAATGGTAAGTTGCATTTAAACAACATGTTTCTAAGTAAAGATAAATTTATATCTGCTACAGAGACATGTTCATTCTTTTCTGTAAAATTTTTGCACAAATTGGAAAGGAAGGTACTATTTGTAAGACTAAGTATTTTGTAATTCTCTGTATATGTGCATGTCAGATAAATTGGAAACTCTCCCTTGGCCAGTCTAACAGTTTAAAATTCTAAAATGTGCTTAATAAAGAAGATTTCCATTTCTGATCACTGCTATTAAAAACAGCTTGGTATCTTCTGAAAAAATACCCTAGGATTTTAAAATATAAATATGTATAACTATATTTGCTAGTCTTGCCAGCTCCCTTTTCTCCTTATGGTGCCCTTTTAGGTTGCTGGTTGGTCTCATGCTCATGGCTGCAGTAGCAGGGGCTGGGCTGTTCGAATCAAGTCTTGCCTTCTGTTCTAGCACCTCCTGCCCCATATAATAATTTGTAGCAAAACTAAAGCAAAAACAAATCTTAGGCCTTTCTGATGGATGAGCAAGAGTTTAGCTTAAACAGCATATATAACGAGTGTGAGTCTCATTAATTACTTTTAATGGAATTATATTTTATAATACCCTTTTTTTCTTCTTTTTGTCTCGAGAAAGCAGAATGTACGTATTTATTTGAAGGGAAAACCTTATTTTGACTGACCGATTCAGAGCTTATCTCATTTGTTGACCTTTATTTTTATTTATTTATATTTATATTTATTTTTAAATGTGTGGGAAGGAAGAGTTAGCGGTGTCTCCACTGTCCTTGCCAGAACGGAAAAGGCAGGACCACGAGAACCTTCCCTGCTTCTCCTGGGGGCAGGAATGATGCCCCAGCTCACTGATGCCCAAGTAGATGGTTGATGGATGAATTTAAAGAGCTGAATTAAATGGAAGATGACAACTTCATTTGTAATAAAGGAGTTTGTCTTGTGTAATTGCAGAGATGGTTCCCATCAGAAAGTTTAGTCAGATAATAGATTTTTCATTTAAAGACTGTCTTGAATAAATATTCTTCTGTCCATGTTAATTGGTGGTCCCGAAGTTCCAGATGTTTGACCTTCTACCAGATGTTTTTAGGCAGTATCATTATGCTGCTTAATGCTGACTCTTGTGAGTCAGCCGGACTCTGCAGCTCTGGCGGAGCAACGTACCCACCACCTTGCTCCATCTCCCTTTTGATTTATCAGCAAAGTTGGTTGAGAAAGCCTTGTCCATCCTAAACCAAACTGGCCTTTTCCAAAGAAGTGGGCAGGGAGGTTTCCTGAAGAATGTGACGCCTCGCTTGGGGTGTGGGCAGAGTTATGTTTTGTCTGGCGACACAAAACCTGAGGGCACTAACACTTGGCAGGAAGGATGCAGCTGCGTGGGGTATCCTGAAGGCAACACAAGTGCTTCCTTAGGGCTCCTTTTCCTTAGAGGGGTGCAGTAGCCGAATCAGTTCAGCCAGACTGAACCCCGTCCCCTTTCCTGGGGTGACAGAAATGCTTCTCCATTCCATGTATGACAGTGATTGCTCGCACTCCCAAAGAGAGGCCCACTCCACACATTGGAGATTGGTTTCCTGTCAGTTTTATCTTTTAGTTAGTATCTTATTTTTATTACAAAGGAGAAAAAAAAAAAGGTATGAAATCAGCCAGTGAATTAACTTGATTCTTCTCTTTGCAGTTGATGCCAACACATGGGCACAAGTGATTGCCTTGTACCCAACGTTAGTGGAGTGCATCACCTGCTCGTCGTCGGAGGTGTGCTCTGCGCTGAAAGAGGCACTGGTTCCCTTCAAGGACTTCATGCATCCACCAGCAGCCAAGGTACAGAATGGAGAGTCTTGACCCCCTAAAACTTTTTCTAAAATTTTTGAAAGGAAAAATAGTATCCAAAAATGTTTGTTCCCAGGTGATCTTTCTCTGAGGAAATCTCTTGTGGCTAGTATTTGGCAACCAATGTTGACTGCCTTTTAACTGCACTAACAAGAGCTCAGTAATTCATGAATACAAACTCTATCTCAAAGGTTCCAGAGTGAGTAGCAGTGCAAACCTTTAATAAATTTAACTGAATAGTGGAATCATTTATAATCTAATGTACTTGCTACAGTATCTTGAAGTGGTGATTGAAAAGTGGGCTTATGTACAGCTTGTTGTGTATGTGTTAATGATGTTAATGATGTAATTAAAAATATTTCAATTCAGTCAGATTTATTCGGCTGGTGTTTTGCACCCTTTTTTGAAGTACAAATTGTACTAAAATTTTATGCAAGATGGTACTGTAACATTCCATATTATCTGTAACCAGCCTTTGTAAACAAAGGGAACTGATATACTTGTGTGTATAATAAATGGTACAGTTCTGTATAAAATAGTTGCATTTATTATTTAAATTCTTTTTAAAATACCAATAATGTTACATGCTTGAAAATGTATTTATTATAAGTTGTATGCTTGCATTTTTACTTACAGTTTGCCTTCTAATTGCCAGATATGCTTATTCTTATCTGATCGTGTTGTTAGTTTTTGCTAAATTGAATGTATCCTCTCTGTGGCCATTGGACACTTAAAGAAAGGTCCTGTGACAGAAGGTGGCAGCAGACAGAGATCAACTGATCTCAAACTTCCCAAGAGCTGACCTGAAATAAGGTTGGATATGCCCAAGTCCACTGTAGCACTTCAACACTACCATACCTCACTCCATAAAAATACGTGTTCAGAGATGTTTGTTTTATTCAGCTCTCGCCATCTTTGTAGCTGTAGCTTTGCTTTAAAAAAAAAAATTACATTAAGTTTGTCTGCCTTTTTTGCCCATATTGACAGGTGTCACTGGCTTTGAATTATGAAGGAAAAGTGATTTCAAATATCTGAAATACTTGTCTGTAATATTTTGTTCAATAATTAAGTGCTTTGTTTTGTAATGTCTTTTCAAACGAACAAATTGTTCTAACATTTTAATTATAAACTATGTCTGATATAAAATCATGAGAAGTGTATTTTTGAAGACAGCTAATCATTTAGAATGCACTAAAATTTGGCATTAAGTACAGCTCTCTTGTTTCATTTTCACATAAGACACTATTAAACAAAAACACTTTTAACAGTATTCCTTTTAAAGCTTGAATTGTGACTTAGCATGTTAAACTTTTATTTAATGCATTATGATTTCAGTAATCATATATTTTCAAACTATAATGTGAAAGCACAAAGGTCAAATGCATATATTTAAAAAAAAAAAAGCAGAGAGAGATAGGTGCCTTTCTGTGGATTTCAGAGGTTTTTAGGTTCTTGTTCCTTCAGGTTGTTTGTACTAAAAGCAATCATTATATCTGTTTGCTTTACCCGTTTACTGGCTAAAGGGCCATTCATTGATACACATGAACAGAAGTCAAAGTTGTGGGAGCCTCAAGAGGGAGTGTGAAGAGCTGCTTGGGTTAGAAGCACCACGTGTGGCTGCTGCTGTGCGAGCAGGGCTGCTGGCAGCTTGCTCCCCTCAGCCTCCAGTTTCTGCTCCTTCCCAAAGGTTCTCCACTTGATGTATAATAAATATTGAAGGAGCTTTAAGACCTTGTGTGTTTCTCTGTGACCTAAGTTGTGTGGAACCTCATCTTTAGGAATGAGTAGTTTCTAGAGAAACACATTTCACATTAGGGAAACAAGTGTCTCCTGTGAATGGAGTTTACGGAGCTTTGGAGAATGGGGAATGGAGCTTCCGCTCTGGAGAAGCAGTCCCTGCGTATCACAGTGTTGGGTCCCAGCTACAGCCAGGGACCTTATGAGCTCTGGTGAAGTGAAAACCTGGCAGCTGCTGCACTAACCAGAGGAGACCGCACCGACCCTGTGAGGCCACGTCCAAGAGCAGAGAGGGTGGTGGAGAGGGGCGGAATTTTGTTCATGCCAATGTTAACCAGAACATCCCCCAAGGGGCACACGCTGACCAGACTGTGGATGGGGTCGTTTCTGTTCATCTGTTTTGCTTCGGTGGTACCATGGATATATTCTATCTAATGGCGCAATTCTTCAGGAAACTCTTTTCAGCATTATCTTTATTTTAAAAGGAGGATATCTAGTGTACAAGTGTATATATCATTTCCCTAAAACTGTAGATTTTAGCATAGTTATGGGCATTAATCTTTTTAGAAATAGAGCATACCAGTAAGTTAGCTTCACTTCTTCTCCAAGTGAATGACCAAGTGAATGATGTGTGTGCTGTTCGAGGCAAGTTTGGGATGTGCAAGGTGAGAGGGACCATATTTACATCCTCCTGTAAGGCTTGTGGATGTGTGAGAACTACAGGCAGAGTTGCTTGGTTTACAAAAGAGACTTTTCCTCGACTAATTTTGTGTGTAAATAAGAATCATCCCTTTACTGTGCCTTCTTGTTCAGCAAAATATTAATTCTAACGTCAAGTATTAGAATTCTCTTTATTTGCAGCTTTTACTAAATAGTTTTGATGTCAAGAACTTTTTTAGATTTTTTTAAAAATGCCCCATTTTTACAAGATTTGTCTTGCTTGAAATAGATATATGTGTTCTTGAAGACATCTAATTAGGAAGAACATTGACCGTCCCGTAAGTCCACGTCCAAGTTGTTCTCACATGAGTAAGGCTGCTTGGGCCTCTGAGGTGCGTGGGCACCTTCAGACTTGGGGCCTGCACCGGGTCACTGAAATCAGATAGAAAGGGGTACAGTTGACTGTATATAAATACATACATTGGACTGTGTAAAAATACATGTATACATTGGAAATTAGAAGATAAATATAAAATTAAAAATGGAAATTAGAAGATAAATATAAATTACTAAGTGTGACCACTTCCCTATTATGTTTTATTTTTCTTCCCTACCTTGCAACAAAACACGTCAGTTTAGGAGTCCAAAGTGAAAATTTGAGGCCTGCAAATGACCGGGACAGTCTTTCCAACATACTGGATTATTTGGGAAAACTTGTCTGTCTCCACGCTGTGACCATTGTCTCAATCAAAGCAAGGGGTGCCTTAATTTTAGATTGAGGAAAAAGGAGATGGTTTTTAGGTAAACTTCACAGGAAAAGCTTCTTTCTTAGAGGTAACACAAAAATAATTGCTGTGTCTCTAGGGGACAGGAGGCTGTGTCTTGTCAGGGACCCGCATCCAGCAGGGCGTTCGCTCCACGCCCGCTTCCTCCGCCGCTTTCCAAGGGGCTGCGGAGCACTCCTATTCCTGTTGCCGTTCCCAGCGTGGTGGGCACTGACATGGGGTACCAGCAGGGTCGTGCATACGGGCTCTCCTTCCCCAGCAGATGGTTGGGCTGTTTCCTCCTGCGAAGCAGCAAGCAGTGGCAGAGGCGACCTGGAGCTCCTGCAGCAACGTAGTTGTAGTGAGGTGACTGCCTTGTTTTTCTTCTTCAACCTGTCTCTACGTATGGCAGGCACAAGCCCTGGTATTGGACATATTTTACACGGTTCCTTTAAAAGTCCACAATCTTGTGCAGTTCTTGGAAAAAACCCATGTTTCCTGCCCTTCTGCTTTGAATCTGTGCCTTGAATCTGCAGCCTATTGCTCCTTTGCTTCGTGGCCAAGCACCTCCAACATGTAATGTCCTGTCTCGTGCAGAGCCCCGCCTTAGGGGGATTCAGGTGGAAGGAAGAGCTACGTCCTGGACCTGCAGGTACTGGCCATAGGGACTAGCACATAAGGCTGTGTGACTGGAGCATATGGATTGTCACACTGGATGTCAGAAAGTGGATTTTCTTTAAATTGAGGTCCAGATGAGGGGCTCCATAGGGCCTGTATTTGTACACATGGGGTATTTATTTTTCATCAGCAAATATCGATAGACTGGTTACTTGCCTTCCTTGAGGAAATAAAAATTTCAGAATGGAGTTAGCTGAAAACAGGGGAAAAGACTTTCCTCCTAAAATGTGGACTGAGGGGACCTCCCATATTTGTTTCTCCTTTGAAACGTTGATAAGTTAATACCCTTTACTGTGTCCTCAGAAGCAGTGAGTTAGCGTCATTCACACTTTACTGTAATCAGTGGAGGTTCTAATGTTTACCTTCATAAAGGGGGAAAAACATATTGACAAGTGCTGACTGCCTTACAGGATCTGAGTATAGCTACTGCTTTGGAAAGTCCAAAGGGAATAGCCTCAGGTTCAGCATCTCGGAGTACGTGCTGGGTAACATCCTGACACCGCTGGGTTGTTCCAGCAGCATCCTTGCATGTTCTGGTGAGTTCATCTCTCTTCCTCTCCTTTTCCTGTTGGGTTCTTTTGTTTATTTTCTGATAATGCAAGAAAAAAAAACTATAATTGTCTAATATTGCGGTAGAGACAAAAAGTTCTTCTGTAGGATCTTCAAAGGCCACTGTAGTCATGAAACATCTCTCCATGTTTATTAAGTTTACTTGTTCAGGCAGAGGAATGTAGCTATGGATCTGTAGGGCACTACATATGCCCTGCTGTTTATGGAGACTGACGTGAGAGCTGCTTACTGTAACCGTGTGGCAGTTCCAGGCAGGTTCTCTATCTGCTCCCTTCTCCCCGTTAAGAAATCGTAATTGTAGAGTATTGTTTAGTCCTGTTGTTAATGTCATTTATTTAGGTATAGCTGTAAGAGATTTACACAAATACTATTTTTTTTTCTTGAAAGTAACATTTTTATTGTATGTGCAATTTAGTAAACATTTTAAAAATGCTTAAGTAAGTTTATAAAGTCACCTTTTACAGTCATGAGGCAGGGGGAAGAAGTAAATTCTTCAGAGTTCCTGTTTCATTTAGGTGTCGGGCACAAAAACAATGAGCTCCATAAGGATACCCTCCTCTTTATGGTGGCAACTGGCTGCCCTGTATGATGGGTAGCTGGGGGAAGACCAAGTTTTTATCTGGAAAGCAGAGTAACACAGAAGGCAAGAAAGCTGAGCTGCAGCATGAACTTCCTTTAGAAGAGAGGAAATATATACATATATTATTTCTTTTGGGTTTGGAGACCATTTTCAGTTGTTCCCTATATGGTAATATAAAAACGTCTGTTTCTTTGAGGTTTGTTCATTTTGCTGTTCAGATCAGAACTTCCTAAGCCATGCACCTAAGCAGGAATTCATTCTAACAAAGCAGTTGCTTTATTTATTGGGAGCAGTTATTTATTTATTTATATGCTGAGGAAAAGCAGTCAGTTACCATTTAGTCATGAAGGTTGCTTATGTTGTACAAAGCAGGTGTGCCCTTTTACCACTAGGAAGCGATCTGGTAAATAGTTACTTTCCTTTCTCTCTCCCTAAACCAGGTACAGGCAGTGGTTTAAGATTAGGATCTGATCATAGAAATTTGCTCTGATCTGTTTCAATCACTTACCCGTAGGTGCTTCCTATGCAATGCATTTCTTCCTTTTTCTGTCTTACAAAGTCACATAAGGATTCATAGAATCATAGAATGCCCAAGGTTGGAAGGGACCTCAGAGGTCATCTAGTCCAACCCCCCTGCTCACGCAGGGTCACCTAGAGCACGTGGC